TTGCGATTTATCAATGTTGATAAAACCATAAGATTATGATAAAAATTGCGCTCTTTCAAATTGTGATTTCAATAAAAAAAATCATTTATCTTTCAGTCTCCAGCAGAAACACAGAGAAAAGGTCTGTTTTAAAAACCGTGTGCAGTGGAAAAACACCCCTGTGTGTCCCATCATGCTCTGCTCCTGCTGTCTGAACTGTCTAACTGTCCCAACATTGTCCTGCTGCAGGTCCTGCCCTTCCGAGCCAGAGTGCTGCGAGCTTTGGCTGCTCCTCTGGACGACAAGAAGAGGCTGGTGAGGAAGGAGGCCGTGTCTGCCCGAGGAGAGTGGTGAGTCTGTATGAACACAGTAATAGACTAGAACTTCCCTGATAGCAAGAGCATAATGGACCCCTGATGGCGAACCTGGTGGTCCACTGGCATGTGTCTGATCCACTCATACCAGCACAACACACACTAACACACCACCACCACGTCAGTGTTACTGCAGTGCTGAGAATGACCCACCACCCAAATAGTACCTGCTCTGTGAGGGTCCATGGGGGTCCTGACCACTGAAGAACAGGGTAAAAGGGGGCTAACAAAGTATCAGAGAAACAGATGGACTACAGTCTGTAACTGTAGAACTACAAAGTATATATAGTGTATATATATATAGTAAGTGGAGCTGATAAAATGGACAATGAGCATAGAAACAAGGAGGTGGTCAGAATGTTATGCCTGACCGGTGTACTTTGACTGTCAGGCCTAGTCATTATTGTTCTCTATCATTTGTTTATAATATTTGTCTTAATTTATTTTCCAAAATTAAAGTCTGTGTGCATTTAAAATCTCAAGGAGATTAAAAAGTAGTTAAGCTTTTAGAGGTGGACGTCTGGTTCCTATCACCACCACTGTGAACAGTTCTGACTGTAAGTTTATCTAGAACAGAGCGTTTCACACCAAACCACTCTGAACGACTCTGATCACATCTTATTCATTTAATTAAAAATCAGTTCTTTATTAAGTTCTATACTTTTTTTGCCCCCTTATAATGCCTTAAAAATTTGAACGTCAAATTTGGGGGTCAGAATTAGATTGTTGTGAAAGTAGTGCTTTAAAACTTAATTAAAAGTGATTTTAAAGTTAGATATTTTGGGCTGTATTGTCTCTTTGTTGTAGTTGGTAGTGCATTGAGGGAGATTTCGGCTTTGTTATTGTTGTTTGTCCTGAACAGGAGGTTAGCATGCTGTGCTCTGTCTGTTACAGGTTTTTGTTGGGGAGTCCAGGGGGGAGGTGAAGACCCCCAGCGCTGCGGTCAGTCGCGCTGGGTGAGAAGTTCAAGCTCCCTGTGAGAGAGAACCTGCACAGATTCTCCTCTGGAGACAAACACCTCACCATCCTCAGCCTCCACCCCACTAATCACCCCAACCCTGTCCCCGAAATCTAACCGCGTCTAATCAAAACACGCACAGTCTGAGTTCTGGCCGAGTCCGGTCTAAACAGACACTGGGAGCTACTTTTATGGAAATGTACCAAAATAATGCACTGTAACGTTTTGCCTTTAAAGCAGCCGGTCAGCCGGTTTTGTCCAGCAGGTGGTGCTGTAGCTCTGAGCCAGCATCTTGTGCCATTTCTGGTTAATGCTGGTTAGATATGTTGAATTGTTATGAACCCTTTTTACACCTGGGCAGCACCTTTTTCTCTCCTGCAGGACAAAAACCTAAACAGTTTTACGACGCAGCAGATGTCAAACTAAAGATGATCAAACTGAAGGACGAGAACATGGTTGTCCAGTTTAGGGTTCACTGACATTGGATTGTGGATGGATAAATAAACTGACTTAATTTTTTAACTTTGACTAGATTCTGTGTATTAAGATTAACGAACTTTCCCTCAGTGTTTTAAACGGCTCTTAAGGCCGCCGGGTTTATTGGGTGACTGACTAACACTGAAGTCTCACAGTGAAACTTATGCCAAGGATATAGTGGGTAATATTTAAATGTCAATAAGTTGTCAATAAACTTCTCTTTGTAAATGTGTGGAGTGGAATTGATACACCATCATTATAGGACACATCAGCGCTACGTCACAGCAGCAAAGACCACTTCACCACTGCGTGTGGTTAACTGTCATCATCATAAACCACCAGCCACACATTCCACTGCAGGGTTTAATGAAGAAGCATTTTTACTGTGTAAAGACGTTTTCTCGGCACGTTCGAAGACCAAGAACTGAGGCCAACACGAACGACTGAACTTAAGGTTCTAGTTCTTGATTTCTCTCCTGCTCAGACAGCTGGAATCATTTATAATAACCCCATAAAGTGACTAATTTGACTCCAGCCTTTGTCAGAGGCTGGTTTTAAAAGGTCTTGGCTGGTCTTTGATGGTTTAGATCAGGGGTCGCAACCCAAATGTTGAGAAGAGCAATTTTGTTCTTTTAACAAAAATCAGACCACCTTGGTTTATTGTAAAATGTCTCAACGGTTTTACAAAACTGAAGTCGCTCCTCATTCACCAGCTTCTTGTTCACATTTACCCACTCCACCTTAAATGGTGCCTGAGGCGCCAGAATTTAACTGCTGCACCATTTAAGGTGGAACGGGTAAATTAAAACAAGAAGCTGGCGAATGAGGAGCGACTTCAGCTTCACGACTTTTTAGTGTTTGAGTTTCTCACTGCAGATTAAACGTATCAGGAAACCAGCTGGAGTGATTATTAACACTAATAAGTCAGTTCGTCTCCAAATTATCGATGTTCATCTTAAATCTCTCTCTTTGCCGTTTCGTTAGCTACTAGCTAGGCGAGACTGTTGTCTGTGTTGCTATGGTGACCAGCAGTCTGCGCTGATCTTCAGGGTTAAAGGGTGAATTAGCAGTTCTACATTAACTCCAGAGTTTAAGACCATTTATTGTTAAACTGTGTTGAACGATCAGCAGAGCTTTATTTTACTGTAAAGGAGGATTATTTTATTTTTACCTACTAATCTGATTCTGCTGTGGAGCCACAACAGGGCAGGAGAGAGCCGCATGTTGCTGACCGCTGAGCTAGGTGGTTGACAAGCTGGACATAGACAAAACATACACTGTGCTGGTCTACTAAGATGACCGACTTGACCAAAAGCACAGTCATGCTGGTCAACCTGCTCGGTCAAGTAGATACTGGGCCACTGGCGGCCCACCAGCTTTTTACTCAGCATTTTCTGGGTGGCCCCTGGTGCTTAAGCAGAGTATTAGAGAAAATGCCATTTTTCCACCCACAGTCCAGTTTGATGATGTCACCATGCACCAGCAGGCAGGGCAAACTAGTATTATTATTAATATCATGTTTTACATCCAGAAATCATTCAGCACCTCCCTGATACAGTGTTTCACTCACAAACATGCTGCAATAATTTAATTAAAACTTTATTTATTGTAAAAAAGTAAAGGTACAAATATGCACAGCAGATGGAGCACAGCTCCTGTGTCCTCTACAGTCATGGTGGTCGATATTGCTACCATGCTGCTTCCTCGTGTTGCTGTTCAGGAATAAAATGAAAGGAAACATCGTGTAAATGTTTGACGTTGGAACCGTGTGCTTAACGCGTGATTTCAGAGATAATTAAAGGCACACTGTCAGATATTTTCAGCATGCTAATGAAGATGTACGCTCAAAAAAAGAAGTGAATGATTATAAAAAGTACTCAAAACACACTGCATACATAACTGCGCTAAACTGCTCTCCTGCGTTAGCGTCCTCTCAGTGAAATGCTTGGGCCACTTTAGAAAATGACTGGACATTCAAAAAGCTTATAGACTCTTAAAAATAAAGGTTGGGCTGCAATTCGGAATCAGCTCAAAATGCTGGCAGCAATCAGCCAGGACTGTGTTACAGGTTTATGAGGTAAATAGGTTATTTACGTCGCCAACACTAGAAGTCAATAGTCACCCAAATATATTCCACAAATACGGCCCCAAAGCTTCTCAGGCTGTTCAAACTGCACCCAGCTCTTCATTAAGGTGGTGCAGACTTGTAGTGTGGTTTAGGACCCAAGACGTCACCGTGTAGCTGAATGTGGGTGGCCACTTTAGGCAGCAGGGCTGTGTTCAGCCCTGACAAAACATAGCAAAACGTTATGCTGTGTTACTTTTTACTGTCCAGTGTGGTCCAGAGGAGGAAGAGTTCCTCTTTTGAGTCTTGGTTCCTCAAGGTTTCTTCCTCTTGCTCTTAGGGAGCCACTGTCACTATTGACGACCCGGATTTTCCTGTAAAGCTGCTTTGTGACTATGTCTGCTGTAAAAAGCGCTATAACTTTGTTTATTTAAACGGAAACAGTGCTGCATTGAACGCTGTTGTGATATACAAGCATTGCAATTATGGCAGCTATGAAGGCCGTTCTTAGGCCCAGTGCCATTTCGCCCCTCGCCCCTACCACTCAGCCCTACCCCTCCATTTTGCGTGTTCACGTCTAGGGGTAGGGTGTCCTGATTCTTGTTGAGATAGAGGGGGAGGGTGAATGTTAGGGCTACATGACCCTCCAAACGGAGGTTTTTCAGAGACTCCAAACAGAGAGTTATGAGAGAAAAAGATAAAACAGCAAGATGGAGAACAAGAGACCAAAGAAACCCACAAATGTGAGAATTTTCTCTTTTAAAAAATTACGATAAACATTAAATTATCTTAGTTTAATGTCGTTTCAGTGTATTTTGGTCCTTTTCTTCATAACAAGCATAAAAAAAAAAATCACGTAGTGCTGATGTCTCGGTAGCTAGCTAACTTTCCCGTTCCACCTTAAATGGTGCAGCAGTTACATTCTGGCACCTCAGGCATCAGAAGTGCTGCTCCATTTAAGGTGGAATGGAAAAATTCGAACAAGAATCTGGTGAATATCTGACTTCAGCTTCATATCACTGAAGAATTAGTGGTGAGTGATAATAAATAACTGCCCCCCTCTTTGAAGTCATATGATTCCCTAAATGTAACTAAAGCCCAGCAGTGAGGAGCTGAACTTTACCCTCCTCTGCTGTCACTGCAGACTGGCAGGGTCTCCTACAGAGCAGCGCTGGTAGCTGTTAATGAAGTGATGCTCTTTTTATTTGAGGGTCCCATTTCAGAGGGAAGATTTCAACCACTACCCCTTCTAACTCTGCTCCAAGGGGCAAGGGGACACTCGAAAACAAGGGGTAGGGGTAGAACTAAGAAATGGGACTGGGCCTTAGTTCTGTTTTCACAGAAAAGTTTTGGGTGACTATTGACTTTCAGTGTTTTTTTAAGCAACATTCGCCTTGCAGCTCCAGCTCCTAAAGATGGACATCAAACATGTCTCGGCTAATCAACTACATAATTGGGGTTAAGTGGAAACTTGTTTACAAGATTTTCTGAGCCATTCCTTTAAAGAGCAAATGTTATTTATAATGAAACAATAGAAAGTACTGGAAGTGTTCCAGCATGTTTTAACCCTATGTAGTGCACTATGTAGGTCACGAAATTGGCTTCTAAAGCCAAGTAGTGCTTTATATGTCCAATAGAAAGCCATTTGTATTCCACTATAAGCTGCACGACTCACTATATAACACACAATGCACTGTTTGGGTGTAGAAGCAGTAGTTTCATGGCCTGTTCAGTGCTCTGTATCAGCCGTTTGAGATTCAGCCAGTTTGAGCTTCTAAAGCTGATAAAAATCGCTAGTTTAACTGTAAAGAAATCTGAAAATTCATGGTTGGTGCATCCCTATTGCGAAATGGATATAAGGTTCTAGGTACACAACAAATTAACAGTCCATTAATTTAACTTTCCTATTATCTTTGGGCTCGATTGGACCCCATTCAGTGTTTAACACAGTCAAACTGAGCCCGTTGAACACTGAATGGGGTCAAATATTTATGGTGACAACTGAGTAAACATAACATTAACATGATATGTTTTCCTGTATACATTTTGTATGCACCTCTGTTTGGGGTCAATTTGATGTTTTAGCTGCAAAAAAATATAATTAATGTCATTTTACACATATTTGTTTTGGTTGTTTTGGATGATACTCAGGTCACTATAACATGCAACTTATAATCTTTAAAAAGCTTCCCTCTGCTTTAGAACCCCAACCTGTAGCACTGCGAGAACCACAGATAGTTCACACCACACGTATTATATTTCCCAGATATTTAAACTGCTGGTGTCAAACTGACCTCAAGGATGTTAGATGTTAGTAAATTTGAAGACAACAGGAGGGTTAAAAAAAAGGTTTTTCAAAGAAACATCAACCAAAAGCATCTTTAGGGAACCAGAAGTGGTTCGTCTAATGGCATCGCTCCTTTTTGGCACCTTTATTTCTAAGAGTTTAATATTTTAATAAATAATAAAATCCTATTAAAACACTCGTTATGACCGCTGGATCCCGTTCAGATCTTTCTGCAGAAGATCTTTGGCACCAAGTGCAGCTTCTGAACTCGGTGCACAGTTGAGACTCACTAATACACGACAGTACAAACACACAAGAACAGGTTCTCCTGGTGATGAGGCTGAAGAGGAGCAGTGGTTCAGCAGTGCAGCAGTGCAGATTCTCTCCTTTTCACGAGCTGCAGTGCTTCCACTGGTTCCGCTGGTGAAGGTCTGGATTGAAATGTGGGTCCATTCTGTGTGACTGGAGCTCATATGGCCATGGCCTCCTTTCTGTGCGGAGGGCTGTCCCAGACGATCCCGTCTCCACAGGGCAGGTGACTGGAGGGTAGGAGCACCCGCGTTAACCAGTGACTGTTGGAGAGAATTAAAACAAAAGGGAGTGATTAGGTCACGTACAACACTGTTTAAAATATGCTGCATTTAATATACACACCGGTCAGGCATAACATTCTGACCACCTCCTTGTTTCTATGCTCACTGTCCATTTTATCAGCTCCACTTACTATATAGGTGCACTTTGTAGTTCTACAGTTACAGACTGTAGTCCATCTGTTTCTCTGATACTTTGTTAGCCCCCTTTTACCCTGTTCTTCAGTGGTCAGGACCCCCATGGACCCTCACAGAGCAGGTACTATTTGGGTGGTGGATCATTCTCAGCACAGCAGTAACACTGACGTGGTGGTGGTGTGTTAGTGTGTGTTGTGCTGGTCTGAGTGGATCAGACACAGCAGTGCTGCTGGAGGTGGTCATAATGTTATGCCTTATCAGTGTGTGTGTATATATATATATATATACACACATACACACACACACACACACACACATATATGTACATACATACATACATACATACATACACACACATTTATTAATTTTATTATACATATATTAATTTTTCACCCATAGTTTTAATTGTATCTGCTAAAATATGGCCGTTAACACAGCAATTAATACTGACATTTTTGGTTGCAGCATTATTCAATTTATTAAGAGTGGTTTGGTGTGAAATGGTTCTGATGTCTTTACAGTGGTGGTGATAGGAACCAGGGGTCGCCATGACTACAACACAAATATAGACATTTTATTTACTATCCAGAACCACCAGTGAACCTACACGAGTCTTCTGAGTTTATATGGAATGTTGATGATGGAAAATAGTGGAAAATCTGAAATCTGAAAATTTCTTTGGGGACTATTTTGCCTCACAGCACCCTGCATATTTTATGTATCCCTCCACCATGAATGGCGTTTAAGGCAGAAATCTACTCAAAATTATCATAAAACAGTGTCTCAGTCATCAGGCAGTGAATTCATAACCATTTCATGTAGGAACTTTCTGTGAGGGAGCTTTTAGAGGTGGACGTCTGGTTCCTATCATCACCACTGACTCAGTAAGTTTCTCTAGAACGGAGCGTTTCACACCAAACCACTCTGAACCGCTCTGTTTACATCTAAACCACTTAATTATGCAGAAATATTGAAAAATCTGTGGAGTTGCACTTTAATGTGAAAGCTTAGATGGTTGTTCCGCTGTGGAACCCAATATGAGTCCCTTGTTTAATTATATTACAGTAATACAGACCATACTGATTTATCAGATCACAAACAAAACACATGTAAAACATAAATAATTGAGATTAGCGACAATTTAATTGCCTTTTTTTATTCACTCTATAGCGAAGAAGTCAGAACTGAGTTGCGCAGCGGGTCCCATTAATTTAGTGCTTTCTGTTTTTTACATTTATTCGCCTCAATCAGCACAAACAGTTTTCAAATTTTGCTTGTTATGACACAAAATTACAATGAAACCAAACCACAGTGGAAAAACGACTGCAGTGGGATTAAATAACTGAGATCAGATGATTATGTAATAATAGCACCAGCCCTAATAAAAACATAATAACACGATCTGTATCAGACTCTGTTAGAGAGTGAAAAGGTGCACAAAAGAAAAATCATACCTGGACTTCTCTACACCAAACAGTATCTTCCAGTTATTTATTTTTCCGTAGTGATATGGATTCCGGAACACCTATAAAGACAATTTATTATTATTATTATTATTATTATTATTACTACTAGACGTAGTGCTTTATAATGTAAAACAGTTTAAAAATGTAATCCAACATGTTTTAAAGTCAAAAATGACAATTGCAGGAATGTATTGCTGTGTAATGTGTTTAGTAGGGGTGTGATAAAACGTTGATATTGCGATATATCGTATCACTTTGTTTTGCGATTAGTTATCAATACACTACTTAATGACTCCACATGGTGGCGCTACGGCGCTAGTCAAACGAATTGTGTAAACCTGCAGAGCAGAAAACGAAACTCACAGGGGAGAAATGGCCGATAACGGGCGAACAAATCAGACAGGAACCGTCCTCTTTCAGGTGGAAGGTCTGGGCAAATTCGGCTTTTCAGCATTAAAGGGACAAATTAAATAGACAAGGACGATTCGCAAGAACTGTCTGGTTAAAATAAAGTACACAGGCAACACAGCGACTTATTCTGTTTTTATTAACATTATTCTGATCTGGTTGTTCAGAAAACAGTTAACGCTGCCACAACTCAAAGTCGGCCTACAATGAATACAGCTTTGACGTCCCCGAGGGCTTCCAGTATTACTAAGTCTATCGCTGGGTTTATTTGTAAGGAGCTCCACCCATACAGTGTAGACGAAAAAGGAGGTTTTCACCAAAACGCTGTAAACACTGGTTTTAGCGAAGCACAGTCGTGTTCTACCTTTAGACAGTTTAACCCCAGAGCTGTTCTGCCTTCTGGCAGTTTATGGCTGTTTTACACTGGAACGATGACTCACAGTCAGTGTGTTAAAGAGGCCTGAAGCTAAGCTGTGCGCTTCGTTTCATACTGGTTGTCAAATTCTGTGAAACTAACACAAATAAATAAATAATTCCTACTATTTGCCTGTTTAGGAGTGTTTTATTTCCTTCAGTTACACAGATATCGTGATCGAGCATCACAGAATCGCAGTATTGTGATGTCATCATTATCGTGGGCAATGTATCGTGATAATATCGTATCGTGAGATGCCCTGTGATCCCCACCCCTGGTGTTTAGTGCTGTGTTTTTTATTATTATTATGTACAGTATTGTGTGTGCCTGTGCTGTGACTGTATCTAGAACATGCTGTTCTGCCTATTTTTGTTTATTCCTACATGGTCACGTCCGTCACACCTGTCACTTGTCATGTACAGGCTGGGCCTAATCTTGGCATCAGTCTAGTCAGTCCAGCCTATAAAACTGTGTCAGTCCACTGGCTAAATGTCACCTTCTGCTCCCTGGTTTCTGGAGGGGTTTGGGTTCTTCAGTGTTCAAGCTAATGTTATTTACAGTGACTACATAATAACAAGTGTTTCTCAGTGTTGCCAAAATTAGCGAGGATAACATTGCATGAGTTCTGTATAGAACCCTTTTCAAAAAGGTTCTATATAGAACCCTCTACAGCACAGTGATGCACATTTTCCATCAGCCTGAAAACCCCTTTTATGAGGCAAAAAACCCTTCAATCATGCAAAGGGTTCTTTGAAAGTTCATGGTTCTATATAGAACCATTTTCTTTACTAAAGAACCCTTGAAGCACCATGTCTTTTTAAGAGTGTAGCCTAAAACTCAGTGGCTACATTAGTCACGGTTGGTTGGCACCACAGTGATTCCCACTGGTTGTATGGCGTGTTTACGTAATGCATGCTGGGTAATGTAGTCCTGAATTCTGATACAAAATCCAGAATTATGTGCAAATGACAACTGCGTTGGAAGACATCTTTCAAGTACATTACCTGTGCTATTCATTCATTCATTCATTCATTTATTTATTGATTAAAATTCCAGGTTATAGTAAACATGTCAGCCTGCCTCCCACTGAAGCTCTGCAGGTGTGAATGAGAACATCCAGTGAGACTATTAGTAGAACCTAAACATGCAGGAAGCCCACCTTGCCCCGCTCCTTCAGCCGCTTCTTCTCTTTGCGGTTGATGTGTCTCTCCACGCTGGTCTCTCCTCTGGTGATGAGCACAGCATGCCAGATGGTCAGTCCTCCCAAGGCAAGCGCCACCGAGCTGAGATCAATAAAAACATTTCATTTAACGCCTCGACCTTAAGAATTTAATCCCCTTCAAATGAGTTTTTTAAAGAAGCAAAGCAGAGTCTTACCTGGTGAGCACCCACAGGTACAGAAGGCTCTTATGAAACAACCTCTCCTGAGCCGTGAACGAAGGGGGAGGAGTCTGATAATAGCTCTTAGGGGCAAACAGAGTAAAAAGGAATAAAAGAATTAGAAGAAAACTTTATAAAAAGTAAACGAGCGCTTATGTAAATATCTAAAAACGTACATATTTAGTTACGTCACAAAGAAGCGGGTAATTAAAAAATGAGTTCTAAGTGGCAACACAAGGATCATACTGGAAAAAACTAGCACGACATTCAGGCCTTTATATGACTATTTATACATTACACCAAGTGTTCTGACCGGAGGTGGGCAGGTAATAGTCCCATTCAATCAGGAAAACATCCTGGTGAATTCCTACTTTTCTGAGTGTTTTTCAAACAATCAAAAAAATAATCCCATTTTAGTCTCTAACGTTAAACTGACAATTCCGTTTTCGTATTAAAGGGTCAATCCGGCCTAATAATCTAACCACGGCTTCATCTGTGCCTAATCAAAACTATTCCCACTCTCCTCCTACACAGCGGAGACACAGCGTCCCCCGGAGCTGTTTAAAGACAAGAAAATCACCTTCTGATGATGCATCTTGAAGGTGGGAGGAGCTACAAGCATTTGGAGCAGATATAAAACGGCGCTCTGATCGCTAAGGCGCCGAATATCCTGTCTGTATCTATTACACTCTTAAAAAGATGGTTCTTCAAGGGATCTTCAGCAAAGAAAATGGTTCCACGAACCATGAACACTCCAAGAACGCTTTTGCATGATTACAGGGTTCTTTGCATCACGAAAGGGTTCTTCAGATTGATGGAGAACGTGCCATAGATGGTTCTGTATAGAACCTTTTAGAAAATCGTTCTATATAGCACCCAAAAGGGTTCTTCTATTGTTACGGTGTCAAGATTGTGACAATAGAAGAACCCTTTTGGGTGCTATATAGAACCCTTTTCAAAAAGGTTCTATATAGAACCCTCTACAGCACATTGATGCACATTTTCCATCAGCCTGAAAAACTCTTTTATGGGGCAAAAAACCCTTCAATCATGCAAAGGAATCTTTGAGAGTTCATGGTTCTGTATAGAACCATTTTCTTTACTAAAGAACCCTTGAAGCACCATCTCTTTTTAAGAGTGTAGCCTATAACGCAGTGGCTGCATTAGTCACGATTGGTTGGCACCACAGTGATTCCCACTGGTTGTATGTTGCATGTTTATGTAATGCATGCTGGGTAATGTAGTCCTGAATTCTGATACAAAATCCTGATTTCTGCCTGTTGAGGCTGAGAGACACAACGCTGCGCTGTATTATGTTACATAGTTGTAGGCCAGAACGTCCCTATTAATTTGCTGGACTGTTTTACTTTTTCTGACTTCACACTTTGGAGCTTTACTATCTTATTTTAGACCAAAGGGACCCAAAAAGAGAAGAGTAGGATTTCAGGACCTATTCAAAACTTTCACATTCAAAAAAATCCTTTCCACCCTAAATGGTGCAGCAGATACACTCATAATGTACTATTTAAGGTGGAACTGAAAGATTCGAGAAGCACTGCTCTGTGCTGACAGTTCCACTGCAGTTCTATAAGTGACTCTGCACTTCAGTAGTTTCTACTCAAGCCGTATTTTAGAACGGTACCTTTACTTTTACTGCGCTCATCACTGTTTCACTGCAGTAATACTTTTTATCCACCCACCTCTGGTTCTGACCAGCCTAGTACCACCACCACGCCACGCCCACTACCAGCACCAAACACAGGCTGCAGTCACTTTACGTAATCTAAAGTGCGGACCGAGTCTGTGGAGACGGCTGTGAGTTCACTGGTAAGTGGATTGAGTTCTTGGCTCCTCTTGGAACAGCCGGTACATCTCAGACCTTCCCTGAATACGACTACAGTCTGCCTGACGTGAAATCCACTTAGCTCTGCCACCTGGAGTCGGTCCGCCAATCAGATTACGCCGTTTAAACCCAGCCATGCGAGGTAAGAGGCTAGATAACTGCACACAGCCATGGTGATTCAGTCTGTCCAGTGAGTGCTTGCAGCCTCTCTGTTCTACCTGCCCTGTCGCATATCCGGGGGGCACGAGGCTATAGAGGACCCCCGCCCCAAACACTGGCTCTCCCTGCAGGTGCACCTCAGCATAGCCGTACGACTGCAGGAACAACAGCGCCAACACGGTCACATCACATGCCATCACTTACGGTCCCTCAACAACACAGGGATTCCCACTGGTTGTATGGTGTGTTTATGTAATGCATGCTGGGTAATGTAGTTAACATTAATGAATGTAAACACAAAAAGGAAATACACATCCTGAGTTCTGCGAAGAGTAGAAGAGTAGGATTTCAGGACCTTTTCAAAACTTTCCTTTCCACCCTAAATGGTGCAGCAGACACACTCATAATGTAGTATTTAAGGTGGAACTGAAAGATTCGAGAAGCACTGCTCTGTTTTATAACATGTTATAGCACCACTTCATTCAGTCTACCCAGCAGCTTATATCTGGTACTCCTTTATTTAGATCAAAGTCTGGTCTGTATGGATCACTGTGCTGAGTTGTAAACACATTTGGGACTTTTAACTGATCTTGGACTTTAGATTTTGTTTTGAGTGACTCTATACATTAATTATGTTCATTTATTAAAACTAATGATTAAACATTCCATTTTGTCACTACCGAAACAATCATAACTCTACCAAACTGTACCAAATGTGTCAGTAGTGACTGTTTCAGTGACAGTTTTAGCTCATTCTGAGCTCAGAAACGCAGCCAGTACAGACCAGCAAACACAGCTTTGAACAGCTGTTCACACAGAAAATCGTCATATTTTACATTAAAACACTAAAAAGTGCTGAACTGCAGAAAATATGACGATTCTTAATGTTCCACACTGATTTTCAGACTTTGGGACACATTTACTTCAAAACAATGGGATCTAACTGCTCACCATGTGGCCATGAGGGACAGGGATGCAGCCTCACTTCCTGCTCTAAAATGCAGGGGCGTGGCTAAAATAGGGCTCCGCCCATTGACTTAAACTTTGTATTTCATTAGTGACATGAAAACGTAGGATAGCATTTTTTTTTAAATATTTTTTTATTTAAAAATTAAAATTGTAATAAATCTTTTTTGTAGTCTTTCAATTTCACTTTAAAAGAAATAAAAAAACAACATTGAAAAAAAAATTTTCACAAGTGTAAATTTAGGGATTAGGGTTTGGGACAGTCTCCTCCCTATAGAAATTACCCTATACATGATGATTGTGATATATATTTGCCTTATTGCTATATCTATTAATGCTTTGGGTTTAAATGGATCAGAACATGATCCTTGTAAATATCTAAGATCTGAATACTTCACTGTTTTTTAAATGGTCTATACTGTGGTAGCACAGTTTGAACTAAGGTAACACACTAACCTCCAGCACATTTATAATAACTATTTATTCATTTTATCACAATTTTCTTATGTATAGTTATAATCTTTTTTTTGGCACTCAAATACACTAAGAAATGATCTTTAGCGTATGGGACACATATTGAGTTACATGAAGAACTTCTTAACTGTTAAACCACGTCTGTTTTCTGTAATACGCGGAATTAATGTCTATAAGGCTTTATAATCAGTTTAACTCGGCGCTAAAACAGGTCAACATCGCTGATGTTAATGTTTATCTCACTACTAACGTTAGACTCCCGCCGCTCACTGTCGCTGGAGTCAGCTCATTCAGACACAGCGCCACTCAGTGACCGGAGGACCCACTTACACTCAGTTTGGGGACCTTCGAAGGGGAATTCCACCGATTTCTCAAAATTCTCTACATAATTAAACGGTTAAGATGTAAACAGAGTCGTTCAGAGTGGTTTGGTGTGAAACGCTCCATTCTAGGGAAACCGACAGAGTCAGAACTGTTCATAGTGGTGGTGATAGGAACCAGACGTCCACCTCTAAAAGCTCCCTCACAGAAAGTTCCTACATGAAATGGATATGAATTCACTGCCTGATCCCCGATATGTTTTGTGTCAGGTTTAAGATAAGGCTTTGGCTTAAAATGTATTTTTTTTTAAATACATATTTGTGGTAGAAGGATACATGCTGGGCGTTGTAAGGCAAAACAGTCCTTGAAGAAAAACTTTTTTTTTATCACTATTTTGCCATTAAACATATTACATAATAACTCAGATGTGTGTGAGTTCATTAGTGGTTTTGGATAGTAAACAAAATGGCTATATTTGCGCTGTAGACACCGTGGTTCCTATCACCACCAACAATCTGTCTACAATGAACCATTTAATGTCTAACGATTTTGTTCAAGCTTTGCTTGGTGATAACTTAGGACTATAGAACATACCTTGAAGTGTTAGTGACTTATTATTAGACTTAGCTCTAATGCAATAAACCCCATAAGTCAGCTCACACTACCTAGAACCTATAGGAACAAATGCTGCCAATTTTACACTATTATAATGTGATTTTAGTGAATTAATTCATGCTTAATAATCTGCATAACAAGACCTCCACAAAGCGTTTATTGCGCATTATTACAGCTAATGATGTACTGATGCTGGTCATGGTGAATAAAGCTTAATGCACAGTAAATGAAACAATTAAGAACAGTCAAGAATCAGGCTTTAATGAACAAAGAACAAGACTAAGCCCCAGAGAGCAGATTTCATGCCTACCTCAATGGCATTGTAAGCATCCAAGAACATGTCTTTGGCGCTGATGCTGCAGTAGATGCAGCCCATGGTCATATAAAGGCAGAAGGAAAAGAAGTAGCGATGGTTGAAGTGGCCCACGCAGTTATTCAGCCAGGCTGCAGAGAGACGGGTTAAGGACAAAATCCACACACAGCGTTCAAAACATGGCATTTGGGTTGGAAAGCTAGAAAAATAGAAATAATTAAATTAACAATAAGAAAAAAGGATACGGCAGTGGTGGTCCATTTTCAAAACACACCTGCGAGAAACAGAAAATACGTCATATGGAATATTTAGTATTAGAAACACGAAGACTTTGTTATATGAGTGAATGTTTTGCATGTTTCGGTGATAAACGATGCTTTGAAAGAATGTTTTTCCACACAAAACTCTCCAAAACATTTCTTTGTTGCTACGTTCTTAAAAAGGATAGTTCTTCAAGGGTTCGTTAGCAAAGAAAATGGTTCTATATAGAACCATGAACACTCAAAGAACCTTTTTGCATGATTATAGGGCTCTTTGCATCATGAAATGGTTCTTTAGACTGATGGAAAATGTCTTGTGTAGGTTCTTTATAGAACCTTTTTGAAAAGAGTTCTGTACAGCACCAAAAAGGGTTCTTCTATTATTACGATGTCAAGATTGTCACAATAGTGGAACCCTTTTCAAAAAGGTTCTACAGAGAACCCTTTAATCATGCAAATCGTGTTCATGGTTCTACACAGAACTGTTTTTCTTTACTAAAGAACCCTTGAAGAACGATCCTTTTTAAGTGTGTAGCTTTGTGCACGGGGGGGTGGCATCATCGAGGAGAAGTTCCTCCCCAAACTGTTCCACAAAGTTGGAAGCACAGAGTTCTCTACAGTGTGACTCTACTGTAATACAGCCCCGGCTCATTATCCCCCCTCCACCAAACACTACAGTCAGAACTTTGCGTTCAGGCAGGTTCACCTGGCATCTACCAAACCCAGATCAATTCATCAGACTGCCAGATGCTGAAGTGTGAATCATCACTCCAGAGAGATGAACATATCTGTTACAGATTAACTAACGATACTCAGGGATGCTAATGAGAGGCTCCAAAGACACTGCGCAACTTAACTGTTCCCTCTCTGCTCTTTTTAAAAAGGCGCTCAAGCCGAGCCAAGAGGGAATGAGAGCTCGTAGCTCCGCCTCCTCGTCACCGCCCCCTGCTCGCAGCTCGTCCGCCAGGCTCGAACGTAATGCTAATTAACGTGGCCTCACTGCAGGACCGGAGGCTCGCCTCGGGACTCGCGCAGCATCCCCCTCTCACTCACGGTGTTCCTCTCCCCGCCATCCTCGCCGGGCTTCGTCTCCGCTCGGAGCTTGGGCCCTGCCTTCCTGCCAGCTCTGGCGGCCGCCATCGGGGCCTGGTGCACGGGCGCACGCCACACTGATACTAACCAGTATAAATATTCTAAATTATACAGAAAGTTTTATTTCACTAAATCTATATGAGTGGAGCGTAAAAGCAACTTCAGCTTCTTGTTTATTGGCTCTTTTCTGCAGCGCTACCTATGTGCTATAGCTGTGCTCTGTACTAGCTACCCGCTGCAGTGTGTAGTTTCTTGTCTGGAGTGCGGTAGCCTTTAGGCAGCAGCAGTAGTCTTTCTGTCTTTCTGTCCTTCGTTCTTTGGACTAAACACAACAAAAACTCTGACCGAAATGTAAGACGCAGACTCTACACCGCCCTCTGGTGGAGTACAGAGGTTAGCAGCTCATGACATTTCATATAGCAATGCAAGCATGAGCTGCATTCTGAGTGTTACGGCAGGGGGCGCTATAACGACAGCCAAGCCTGTCAAAGCGGTCTTGCACCGCCAGTGTGTTTCTGAACCATCATAGCAGATGAGCAAGTTGAATTCCATGCAAAGATAAACATAAAAACATGATCCATTATGGCCTTTTCATTCCAATAAAAAAGGTAAAGCAGCTCACTCCCCTCTACTGTCCACGTTTAGCTGCTGAGGCTGTTGGATTGTCCTCTAGCGCCCCCTTCAGTACTGAGTGTTTTAACCACCACGGTAACATAAGAACGCATGGTGAGGTGAAAGAAGGACCGGGCGTTTGCTATGCATTGGCCGAGAGCTGTTGTGTTCGGGTTCTTGCGTTTTGTTGTTTCTAGCCTTAAAGAGAAGCTAATTTGCATATCAAAATCAAATTCACTATTACATTTTTAAACTTTCATGACAATTCGAATATTCGAACACCCTTACGTACCTGTTGCAGATACTGCAGTGGTGCGTTCTTGCTGGTTTGGGAACGATACACTTTTTACAAATGGTCACTGTAGGAATATCGCTCTTCTCCTGAAAGGAAAGAGATATAAATGCTGAATTCTGTTAACAGCACCAGTGATGCATCTAGATAAACACTGCTGACTGAAAATATTAATATTTGTGGGTCAAAGGTCATAGTTTGGGTGCAGCTAACTGATTTAAAGCCCCATTGAGTCACTGAAGAAAGCAGTACGCACCTGTGGAGGACATCCAGGGGAGGTTGTGGTGGCTTTGTAGTAGTGAAAGACCACCATTACGAGGTTCCAGTGGCCGTAACAGAGGTGCCAGAGGATCCAGTGAGCGGGGTATGTGTCTATAATCAGCGGGAGGACGCAGAGGTAGACGATCAACACCACGGAGCTGGTGAGAGCAATCACCAGACACACAAACACCTTCAGAGAGACAGACAGACGAGCGTTAGAAATGGGAAAAAATGAAATATTATGCAGATACAGTATGTTAATTTGTTACTAATCAGGGGTGGCTAAAATATAACATGGAGACACTTTCACTTTTCACCTCAGTGTCACTGCTGGACTGAGAATAGTCCACCAACCAAAAATATCCAGCAAACCATCCAAAAAAACCATCGCGGATAAAATATTTTTAAAAGTCTTATATAGTGATGAATACAGCGAACCCATTTCCCAGAGCCTGATTCTTGATCTTCCGTAAAACAGAAATTCAGGCCAAATCAGAAAACTTATAAACAAAACACCTTCATAAAATCACTAACATGTAAAATGTACCTAAACATCACCTTTAGCTACGACACGAAAATAACGTGAAGAAAAATAATAAGGAACATAAATAAATTACAGCTAATTAACACAAATCAGTGAAATAGCTGAGAATGCTGTGAAGCTCCGCCCCCTACCCTTCAATATCTATATCACTTAGAACTTTTAAGTCCAGATATATCCTAAAACTGCTATTTCAGCTTAAAAAACACCCAAAATGACAATCAAATGTCACAATTCGCAACTGACCCCTGACAGTGAAGTTTATATCGACTGATATTATCGGTTATCAGAAATGTTAGCTCATTAAATTCACTAATATATCAGCATTCTCATATTTACTGGGCCCCAGTTACTGGTTTCATTATCCATATTGGTGCTCGAGGTGCTCAAACACGACCTGAGCTACAAACAAGCAGAAACTGCAGCACTGCGAGTCGTTTCGGGTCACTCACCACGCCAAACCAGCGGGTCAGGTTGTCCACCAGCCAGTAAACGGGTTCGAACATGGAGTCGAGGACCGTGTCCCAGTTGGTGAGGGTGTTGAAGTAGAGGGAATTGAGGATCACTTTTCCGTAGTTCCACAGATCCCGGAGCCTCCCGGGCCGCTTCGCCCGTCTCCGCCGTGGACACAGCCGGAACCAGCGCAGGGAGAGGTGCATGACCCGGGAGAAGTACCACTTCCAGCTGCGCATCCCCCTCCTGAAACACACACACCACATACAGACCACATCAAACACGGAGCCTTAGAGAGAACCGAGAGAGCATGGATCCATCCACACCACATCGCTTCACAGCGTCACCAGCACAAACACAACTGAGTGCACCAGCGACTGAGATTAACAAGTTACGGCAAAACTCATTCACTGCCTGCTAGGGCTCGGCAATATGACAATACTTATAATTATCATGATAAATTACATCACAATACCTTTTCTGAGTGTATCGTGGACATCATCAGTACTTAAAAACACTCCCAACTGCATGACTGATTACAAAGACAGCATAATTAGTCCTGTTTAGTTAGATTTAGGCCCAGTCCCATTTCACCCCTCGCCCCTACCACTCAGCCCTACCCCTCTGTTTTTCACGTTCATGTCTAGGGGTAGGGTGTCCTGATTCTTGTTGAGATAGAGGGGGAGGGTGAAGTGTTACAGCTACATGACCCTCCAAACAGAGGTTTTTCAGAGACACTTCAAACAGAGAGTTATGAGAAAAAACGAAAAACCGGAAAGATGGAGAACAAGAGACCAAAGAAACCCACAAATGTGAGAATTTTCTCTGTTAAAAAATACAATAACCACTGTATTATATTAGTTTAATGTTGTTTCAGTGTATTTTGGTCCTTTTCTTCATAGCAAGCTTAGAAAATCACTAGTAGTGCTGATGTATCCAGTTAAATTTCCCATTCCACCTTAAATAGTCCAGCAGTACTGATGCCTGAGATGTCAGAATACAAATGCTGCTCCATTTAAGGTGGAACAGGAAAATTCGAACAAGAAGCTGGTGAATATCTGACTTCAGCTTCATATCACTGAAGAATTAGGGGGGGGTGATAATAAATAACTGCCCCCCTCTTTGAAGATCATATGATGCCCTAAATGTAACTAAAGCCCAGCAGTGAGGAGCTGAACTTTACCCTCCTCTGCTGTCACTGCAGACTGGCAGGGTCACCTACAGAGCAGCGCTGGTAGCTGTTAATGAAGTGATGCTCTTTTTATTTGAGGGTCCCATTTCAGAGGGAAGGTTTCAACGACTACCCCTTGTAGTTCAGTTCCAAGGGGCAAGGAGACACTCGAAAACAAGGGGTAGGGGTAAAAATGAGAAATGGGACTGGGCACATTACATCACAGTACAATTAATTGTATTCATAGTTTTTCATTGTATTTTTAAATGCGGCACTACTTTGGTCCAACTTTACAGACGTGAGAAGAAGAAATCTCGTCACATATCGTGTATCACGAAAAGTATGGTGGTATTATGTCATATCGCACGGCTCTGATGTCAACATTATTATTATTATTATTATTATTATTATTATTATTGCAACGCATGTCAAATCACCAGTTTAACAGTTCAGTGCGGTTACTTTCCACAGGGTCACTTAAAATAAGAGGGCTTTAATACTGACACAGCCCTACAATTCCCCTCTTTTAAAATCCCTACAGTTAGTTATACGTGTGATTTTGAAACGTTGCTATTAGGGCTGAAAGATTAATCGTTTTTATATCAAAATTTCAATATGAATGCAATTTTTATTCAAATCTTATAGTCTGTTATCAACAACGCTGATGTGTTGCAAGTTTTAAATAAAGGAAATTTAACCTAATAACTGGTGAACTGCTTTTAGATTAATTCGACTAATCAGAAGCAGCTAAACGTCTGTGTGCTGTGACATCACAACCATGATTAACTGTCAGGCTGTTGTGTTATGTAACTTAGATACTGTGTTAAGCCTTCAAGCCTCAAGCCAGATGAAGTACACACTGGTCTTCTCAGCCCAAAAAGGCCCAAACATCAATATATAGAAAACAATCGCAATTAAAATCATAATCGCAGTATCGGTCAGAAAAATCACAATTAGATATTTTTCCAAAATCGTTCAGCCGTATTTGCTACTTCTCTATGAATCGATCAGCCGTTTAGGATCAAAACACTTCTCTGATCTACCTGAAGAATACAAACCTCTCAGATCACTCTGCAGTGCTGAACCAGGCATAGCGAGGCAGCATTTAGATCACATGATGCCCAAAACTATCCGCCAGAACATCTCGGATGCGCCTGAATTTGGCCATCTTAGACCAGAGTCCAGATTAGATACTTCTCATAAAATGTATGATTGGCTTATATACAGTACCGTGCAAAAGTCAGAGACCGCCCTTATTTATTTAATTTCCAGTCAAAACTGCCTTCAGGTACCAGTTATTAATATTTCAGGAGATACTTCTGAGGAGATAAGATGCAAGATAATCCACTTACATTAGGAAGGAGAACGTCAAAGTCTCCAAAACAAGAGTTCAGAAACTCCTAACAACCACCTGGAAGAGCTGGTTGACCCCAAAACTGCCCCCATGAGATAAACAGCACTTAAAGCTTTCATCTCTGAGAGAGAGGAGAAATTCAAGCTGCTTCAGATCTGAAAACATCCACAGGTGTTTCTGTCCATCCTTCCACTGTGAGAAGACGACTCAGCGCTGTGGGTCTGAAAGGATGTGTAGCTGATCAAGAAGAACCTCACTGAGAGAAGGAGACGGACACATCAAACAAAGAAGCTGAACAATGGACTGACCACCCCAGAGTCCAGACCTCAACACCACTGAATGTGTTTGATTACTTCAGAAAATCATCAACCAGCTTCTAAGAGTGGGATCTTCTGTTAAATCTGCTTTCTGACCCTGAAAAAGAAATAACTTGTACTTGTATGTAATTAAAATAATGAAATCAGTCTCTGACTTCTGCACCTGTAAATAAACTCATCTTACTGCTGTTACACACACAAACACAACATTACGTCCTATGAAAATCCAGTATATCCATAAATAAGCTATGATGGAGCATATTCAGACTATCCCAGCACTCAACTCACACAAATTAGTCCAATTATTCAGATGTGTAAGGGGCAGTAAGGGTTTCCTGCAGTACACCTAGAATATAAGCTCCTACTGCGCAACTTTAGAAGGTAAATACAGACTCAAAGTAACTGAGCTGTCGAAAATAAAGGCGGCTGAAAGGCGAAGTAGTGGACCGTGAGGTTTCTCAGTCTACTTCATCAGTTTTTATTAGAGAGATAGTCCTACTAAGTCCTCCGATAACTTGACAAAACTCAAGAATAAACATTCTTACCCAGTTTCTAATTTCCTGCTTCCATTAAAAAGGACTTCAAGACGGAAAAAAGCTCATTAAATCATCTTAATCAAGGAAGAAAGCGTCTTCAGTCTTCATCGGTCATGTCCTGCAACGTTCCATCACCTCGAAGGACGTCCTGGTACGTCTGCGTTTTCAGATAAACAGAAGCATCTTGAAGTTGACCTCGTTCTGGACGAAAAGCCAGAACCTGTAAATATTTTAGTAATTTCTTCCCAATACACCTTCCATCACCACGGCCAACTCGGAACGGAAGACGCAGGACCACTGTAACCCTGCACTCAACGAACTTCCTCCGGGGAAGAATAAGGAGTCACCCGATACAGGATCATTTCATGAAAGTGAGCGGGTTATTGGCTCCGAAGATAAGAACGGGTCCTATGTGCGTCTTGCAGCTTATTAATTGTTAAAGGGGCTTTCAAAAGCGACGGGTCGTCACGCTGCTTCCTGCTAATTTCGGAATAGGAGAAGGTGAAGCTCTAAGTGCCTCTCAACCAGCGGGAGAGGCTGAACGTGTAGGTGGCTTAAGTAAACCTGAGAAAGCCCTTAATTAAATGCAGGTGTTCCACGACAACCTCCCGCATACCTGATCCAGGCCCTCATCACATAATCTGCGTTGAGAAAATGGGCAACATTATAATAATAATACACTATAAACAAAAGAAACATGGCCTAAAGCAGGGGCATCAAACTCAACCACTAAAAGGGCCATATTAAAAAATCTCAACGGAAGCTGTCTGTTTTATTTCATTTTTAAATTAACATTTTGCTATAAACTGAACCGACTACTGTTTATTGAAAATATGCAAAAACTTTAACAGACAGTTGTAGCAGACCTTGAATTATTGCACGAATGCTTGAAATATTCACCTGAAATACAAAACCTGGGTGTGTTCTTAGACTCTGAGCTCTGTTTTATCTGCATGTAAACACAGACACTAAAGTAGCTTATTATCATGTGAGAAATATCACTAAAATCTGGCCTTTTCTGTCTCAGAGCGACGCAGAGAAACTTGTTCATGCATTTGTTACAGCAGAGTTGATCACTGTAATGATCTTCTTACTGAACTTGCTAAGAAAACAATACATCCTTTACAACTCATACAAAATACATCAGCATCCTGACAAAAACAACACAGAGATCAGATCAGTCCTGCTTTAAAGAGCTGCACTGGCTGCCTGTGTCGCTCAGGATAGAGTTTAAAGCTCTGCTACTAGTTTTTAAAGCTATAAATGACCTTAAAGCTCCACTTACATCACAGAGCGTCTGTCTGTTTATGATCTTAGACCTGCAGATACTAAACTACAAACACCTTCAGTAAAACACAGAAAACAGAGAGACTCTTTCAGTTGTTCTGCTTCTAAACTGTGGAGCTCAGTTCAGCTTTTATTAGACAGTCGAGCTCAGAGCTCACTTTTAATAAACACCTCAGCTCTTTAACTCAGAGCTTCAGTAAAACTCTACGTCTCATGGTGTTTATCCTTAATATAATCTGTGTTATTTTCTTATATGATTCTAAATAAATACTAGATGATTTCTTGTATAACTGTTTTATCACCTGTCTGTAAAGCACTCTGAGCTGCCAACAGCATGAAAAGTGCTATATAAATAAAAATTATTTTATTATTATTATTATTATTATTATTATTCAGAATTTAAATGTCTCCAGGAGCTCAGTCTTTTAAACCTACCTATCTGCCTGATTTGGACACCTGGAATCCTTTCTTTGCTACAAGTTCATTAAGACTTGGACTCAGTGTTTATATTGGCTGAACTGCAGTTAGTGTGTTTGGTGATGTGACAGGTGTGGAACTGTGTAGAACTGAGGTGGAACCACTGTCCCATTGATTGTTGTTGGGGTGGGAGAGTCGGAGCACGCATTACGTTGCAGTGCATGCTGGGGACCTTATGTTTGACACATGGGGCCTGAAGGAACAGTTTACCACAATTATCTCAAATGTAGTCGATCGGTCAAGCTGTGTTTGGTGTCTGAAGTTTACATCTTTAATTTTAGTGCTGGAGCTACGAGGCTAATTATTGTAATGATAAGGTTTCACCATCATCAGGTCAGTGAAAAACTTAAAGGGGAACTCCACTGAGTTTTCAAAAAACTCCTGCATATATAAGTGGTTGAGATGTAAACAAAGTGGTTCAGAGTGGTTTGGTGTGAAACGCTCTGTTCTAGACAAACTTACAGAGTCAGAACTGTTCACAGTGGTGGTGATAGGAACCAGACGTCCACCTCTAAAAGCTCCCTCACAGAAAGTTACTACAGGAAATGGTTATGAATTTTTTTGTGTTTATGTTTTGGCTTGAAACGTATTTTAAACCATTTATTTTAATCCATTCATGGTGGAGGGATACATGCAGGGTGTTGTAAGGCAAAAATAGTCCCCAAAGAAAACTTATTATTTCAGATTTTCCACTATTTTCCATCATCAACATTCCATATAAACTCAGAAGACTCGTGTAGGTTCACTGGTGGTTCTGGATAGTAAATAAAATGTCTATATTTGTGTTGTAGTCATGGCGACCCCTGGTTCCTATCACCACCACTGTAAAGACATCTGAACCATTTCACACCAAACCGCTCTGAATCTCTCTGATTACATCTCACACACTGAGTTATGCAGAAATTTAAAAAAACAAATCAGAGGAAATTCCCTTTAGGTTAGTGTTGAGGGACACCTGGAGAGTCACTTGTTGCATTTAGAGAAGCCTAAACATCTGAAGGTGGTCAGTGGCTGATATGGGGTGTGTCCTTTCTTGTTGACCGGTCTCGGATGATCAGTCTGTGCCGTTTTGCTTCGTCAGTGGAACTTGCCTGAATGAAAATGACAGTAAAACCTCCACCGGCGCTCATTAAAGTTACTCATTGCTCAGTTTGTGGCCTATAATTCAAACACAGTGCTTCAGTATGTCTCTGAAGGTGAAGCTCAACAGCCTCGGACCCCGATCATGTCAATCAACAGCCTAATAAGCAAAATCCTTGGTCTTATGGAAAAGTGTGGGACTAGGAAAAGGAAATAGACCAGGGGTCGGCAACGTGTGGCCCCGGAGCCACATGCAGCTCTTTTACTGCCCTGTTGTGGCTCCACAGCTGAATCAGATTAGTAGGTAAAAATAAAATAATCCTCCTTTACAGTAAAATAAAGCTCTGCTGATCGTTCAACACAGTTTAACAATAAATGGTCTTAAACTCTGGAGTTAATGTAGAACTGCTAATTCACCCTTTAACCCTGAAGATCAGCGCAGACTGCTGGTCACCATAGCAACACAGACAACAGTCTCGCCTAGCTAGTAGCTAACGAAACGGCAAAGAGAGAGATTTAAGACGAACATCGATAATTTGGAGACGAATTGACTTATTAGTGTTTATAATCACTCCGCCTGGTTTCCTGATGCATTTAATCAACAAGAAACTGACAAACACTGTAAAGTTGCTAAGCTGAAGTCAGTTTCTTGTTCACCAGCTTCATGTTCGAATTCTCCCGTTCCACCTTAAATGGTGCAGCAGTTACATTCTGGCTCCTCAGGCACCATTTAAGGTGGAATGGGTAAATTCAAACAAGAAGCTGGCGAATGAGAAGCGACTTCAGCCTCGTAAAAAGTCGAACGTTGAGAGACATTTTACAAGAAACTTCTACTTTTGTGGAAAAGTTTCCTGCTGGAGATGCGAGAAAAGCGACTATAGCTAAGCTAAAATGAAAAGCGTACAAAGTCTGCGTTTTTGTTAATATTTTTTAGCCTATACAGCACATCAGCACATACTGAGACATGTTTACAGCCAAGATGGTGAAACATTACTTCAAAAAAATGGACATAAAATATTTTGGCTCCCAAGGTGGCTTGACTTTTGCTGAAAGGACAAATTGACTCTTCTCAGCATTTGGGTCGCGACTCCTGGAATAGGGTGAAATGGAATAGTGGATGCTCTGCACTAGGGCTGAACGATTTAGGGAAAATATCTAATTGCAATTTTTCTGACCAATATTGCAACTGAGATTTAAATTGTGATGACTTTCTATAATTTAAGATCCAGGCCTGTTTTGGGCCGAGAAAAACCAGCATACCCACATTTTTTGCCCGAGGCTGGGTACAGTGTGACTGTCTGACTGGCAGTCAGTTGTGCTTGTGTTGTAATGTACACAGTATTTGCTCCTGATTTCTGATTGGTCGAATTCTATAGGCAGGTCACAAGCGCCATTTTATTAGGTAAAATTTCCCCACTTAAAACTGAGGCCAATGCTGTTGGTAATACAGGCTATAATTAAACTTGCACTCTTTCAAACGGCGATTTCGACACTGAAGGGATGAACAGTGCATGTCAATCAAATTCACTGTGTAGATAACATCTCAACACTGTACACCTACAAAGCCTTCACACCGTCCTCCACCTGTCTGCCCTCGAAGGGCACAGAAACCCAAAACCTGCCCTGGTTCCACTGCCGTGGTTATGACTGACATGCTGGAACACAGCACTGGGTCACTGTCACTGTCTCTGTTAACCATCTGGACTTTCACTCCTCATAAATCTCACTTTCTACCACAGCAGCTCCGGCATTATCACTGGCATCATCACCGACAGCTCTTCAGCACCAGACCTGGTGTGCCAAGCGTTTAAAGGGCCCATATCCCACATTTTAGCTCTTATTTTTCCAACTGAGATCCCTCTTTTTTGATGTTTGTGTGGGTTTATGTGCCAAAAACAGCCAACATGATCCTCTCTTTATCCCTTAGAATTAAACAGACTGTGCCTTTAAGACTGAGATATGCAAATGAGCTCCGTTCTGACTGGCTGTGCCTCATTCAAAAAGCAGCCCAGGCTGAAACACTCCTCATAACTTCATTATAAATAAATGGGCGGGGCCAAACTGCTGTCAGGTGCATATGCAGATATATGTAAATATGTTGGCTTTTGTGACATCACAAATATGTAAATATTTTAAATATATATAATAATATAATAATATTATAAAATATATATAATATTATTATATTATAATGTATATTAGTCTTAAAAGTATAGCCTGTTCTAAGCTTTTTGTTATGTCACAAAAATATTTAAAATATTTACATATTTGTGATGTCACAAAAGCCAACATATTTACATATATCTGCACATGCAGCTGACAGCAGTTTGGCCCCGCCCGTTTATTTATGTTGACGTTATGATGGGGCAAAACTGCTGTCAGCTGCACATGCAGGTATATGTAAATATGTTGGCTTTTGTGACATCACAAAAAAATCAAAACAGGCTATTTTTGCTGTTTAGTTTATGTATATGGACTGTATGAGGAACAATACAGGAAAGCCAATCAAAACAGGGCTCATTTACATATATCAGTCCTAAAGGTATTCAAAATTCAGTTTTCTGTGATATGGGCCATTTAACTTACGCCACCTTTTTAGCTGACTTATATAAAAAAGTGTATAAAATCTGAGAATGGTTCTATGAAGAACCATGAGTTCCATACAGAATCATTTCATGCTTAAATGTTTTTGTGTGGTGAAAAGGTTCTTCAGATTGATGGAGAATGCGTTGTTTGTGGTTCTATATAGCACCAAAAAGGGTTCTGCTATTGTTACAAGCTTGACATCGTAACTACAGAAGAACCTCTTTAGGTGCTACACAGAACCATTTCCAAAAAGGTTCTAAATAGAACCATATACAACATATTGTCTCTATCAGTCTGAAGAACCATTTCACCATGCAAAGAACCATCTGAGCATGAAATTCCCTTTACTAAAGAACCCTTCAAGAGCCACCTTTTTAAGGGTGTAGATGTTGAACATTGCTGTGAGGATTTGATTGAGCATCAGTGAGGTCAGGGACAAATGTTGGATGGTCAGTTCTGGATCACAAACTCCACTCCAGCTTCTTATTCCAAAGGTATAAGGATTCTTACCCGAATTTTCCCGTTCCACCTTAAATGGTGCAGCAACCAAGCATCCGTACACTGTGTACATGACAACACCACAACCAACAAGCGCAGCATTTAAGGTGGAACGGGAAATTCGAATAAGCAGCGGGAGAATAAAGGACCAGCTTCAGCTTTAAACCCGAACGCCGCTCGTTAATAAGGCGGTTTGAGCTGCTTACCGTGAAACTGCCGGACCGTCTCCCTCACGGCGCTCAGCTCAGCTCATTTCTGACTGAAGACGAATTAAAGCCGCTCTCCGTCCCGAGCGGTGATAACCACCCCATCCAGCTCACCGCTGCGCTGTTTCCTGTCTGGTCTCTCCTGAACGCGGCTGATTCGGCACTGAGCGTTCACGCCATTTCAAAATAAGAGTCCGGGTTCGCTACGAAATTGTAGACTCGTTTGATCTGTATCCCAGTAAGAGATACTCAAGAAAAGCACAGAAAATGACGGAGCCCCTGAGGAGACATGCTGATTATTTATTAATAAAGCGTGACCACAAATTAATATATTGAGGCCATGAATGACTGTATCGAGGACACAAATTACTATACTGAGGAAACAAACCATATCGTGGCCATAAATTTATATATTGAGGCCACAATTCACTAAATTGAGGCCATAATTTAGTATTGTAAGGCCACAATTTACTGTATTGAGGCCAAGTATTTATTTATTGAAGCCACAATTTACTATGTCGAAGCCATAATTTACTATTTTGAGGCCACAATTTGGTATTTTGAGGCAACAATTACATATATTGAGGCCACAAATTACTATATTGAGGGCACAAATTAATATATTGAGGCCACAATTCACTATATTGAGGCCACAAATTGATACCTTTAGGCCACAATTTACTATATTAAAACCACAGTTTAATATATTGAGACCACAAGTTAATATATTGATTTATAATTTTGTATTTTGAGGCCAAAAATTTTACATATTGAGGCCACAAATTAATATATGGAGGCCACAGTTTGCTATATTGAGGCCACAAATTATTATATTGAGGCCGCAAATTACGAGAACCTTAACTCACGGCCTCAACATAGAAATTAGTGGGCCACGTCTTATTAAAAAATAATCACCATGTCTCCTTAGGGGCTCAATAGAAAATCAGCCAAAGAATATAAGATCAGTGGAAAAACAAAGTTATCCGAGTTTAGTAACTACACACAGGAAAGGAGTGGCTGATCATCTGAATCTGTTATGCACAATCTGAGATACGCTTTTCTTCTGTCATGATTTTCATGTTTTGCTTGGAAAACACTTAAGTGATTGTATTTGTTGCTATACTTAAATATTTTCTTTTGGATTTGTACTTTACTCAAGTAGTATTAACAATTTCCTACTTGTGCTTTTACTCGATTACATTTCCAAAAGAAAAAAAGAAACTTACTTTTTAAATCCTTACCTTAAATTTCCATTCAGACCTGTGAAGCACTCGTTACAAATCTCAGAGAACTTTTTATAAAATGTCTCTTGCCTGTTATTCAAGTTCCAGAGCATTTTTTTTTTTTTTCATTTTTTATTAAAACACCCAAACCAATTCTTATTAAATGTAAAATTTTACTTTTCTCTCTTATATGATTAAGTATTAAAAATGTAGATACTTTCTTACTTTCACTCAAGCATGTTTTTGGCTCCAGGCTTCCACTTTTAATTAAAGCATATTTTGTTTTTCAAATTTTTTTCATAATTTAATGATTGAGATGAGTCAGAAATTAGTGGGTTGGTGTGAAATGGTTCAGATGTCTTTACAGTGGTGGTGATAGGAACCAGGGGTCGCCATGACTACAACACAGATATAGACATTTTATTTACTATCCAGAACCACCAGTGAACCTACACGAGTCTTCTGAGTTTATATGGAATGTTGATGATGGAAAATAGTGGAAAATCTGAAATAATAAGTTTTCTTGGGGGACTATTTTGCCTCACAGCGCCCTGCATGTATCCCTCCACCATGAATGGAGTTTAAGTTCTCAAAACTATCATAAAACAGTGTCTCAGTCTTCAGGCAGTGAATTCATAACCATTTCATGTAGGAACTTTCTGTGAGGGAGCTTTTAGAGGTGGACGTCTGGTTCCTATCACCACCACTGAATGACTTTGTTTACATTTCAATATAAGGTGGTGACGGCCTCTTTAAGGTTGCCCCTGGTTACCGCCTCCGTGTCACAGCGATGCGAATTGACGTCAATGGCAAATTTTCTGATTGGTGCTGACCGTTTCCGGTTGACTGTCCGTCCGACGGCTGAGGAGAAAAGGGAGGAAAACTGAGTAAAACCGCGCCGAACGGAACAGATCGAGCTGCGTCCAGGAGTCCCGGTAAGGCTTCGTGTGTTTCCTCGCCGTTTGCGCGTCTCCGCCCTCGCACGGTTTCCGGATAATCTGCTCCTCAGCGGCGCGGTCCGAAACCCCAGCTAACAGGCTAACAGGCTAACAGCTAGCCGCTGCTGCCGTTTGTTTATGATACACGAAGATGGCGCGCGCGGCCTTAATATTCATAATGCTCAGCGCCGTTACCGTCCCTGAAACCCCGAAACCCCGATATTGAACCAGTAGCGCCTCATGCTCTTAATCCAGCGTATGAAATGGTGTAAAGCTGAGAAGCGGTTGTTCAATGTGAAAAACAGCAACGAGGCCCGAACTTTCCGGTCCACCTTAAATGGTGCGGTAGTTGCGTTCTGGTGCCTGTACTGGTTTTGCATTGGGCAGAATGCAACTGCTGCACCATTTAAGGTGGAATGGAGAATTCAAAGAAGAAGCCAGTTTAAAGGAGGGCTGTTTAGAGGCGCTGCTGTAACGTTACCTCTTCAGCCAGAACATTTGGGCTGCGTTTTCTAGTTTAATTGCATTTGCTAGAGGAGAACTCCACCGGTTTCTTAAAAATTACTGCATAATTTAATGGTTAAGATGTAAACAGAGTCTGTTCACAGTGGTGGTGGTGATAGGAACCAGACGTCCACCTCTGAAAGCTCCCTCACAGAAAGTTACTACAGGAAATAGTTTTCAGTTCACTGCCTGATGACTGAGACACTGTTTTAGTTTTTAGGTTTTGGGTTAAAATGTGTTTTAAACCGTTTATTTTAATCCGTTCATGGCGGAGGGATACACAATGTCCTGCATATTGTGAGGCAAAATAGTCCCCAAAGAAAACTTAGTATTTCAGATTTTCCACTATTTCCCATCATCAACATTCCATATAAACTCAGAGGACTCGTGTAGGTTCACTGGTGGTTCTGGATAGTAAATAAAATGTCTATATCTGTGTTGTAGTCATGGCGACCCCTGGTTCCTATCACCACCACTGTAAAGAAACACACCAAACCACTCTGATTTACTCTGATTACATCTCACACACTGAGTTATGCAGAAAAAAATGAATTTTGAAAAAATAGTGGAATTCCCCTTTAAGTCTATTATCAGTGTGTATATGATCTGTAATTCTGCATCTTGTATTATTCTGTGGATCAGACTTTGCTTACAAATGTCACTCAGTAGAAATGCACTATATCACGTTATAATTTATAAGGTAAATCAGTTGAGCCGACAGGCAGGGAGTGTTATTCTGACACAGGATAATCTTCCCATACAGATTATTATTGTGCTAATCCAGTTATCACAATGATGCAGTAATCCTGTTCTTGTCCTGGGCAAGTTGTTCTACCGCCTCATGTCGCAGGGCCTTGTTTATGTTTACAGTTAGGGCATGTGTGTGTGTATATATATATATATATATATATATATATATGTATGTGTGTATGTGTGTGTGTGTGTGTGTATATTATATATATATATATATATATATATATATATATTGCATGTTTCATTGTAAAGAGAGCTAAATGAGTCCAGTTTAACTCGATTTAGTGCCAAATATTGAATAAAAATCACTGTATTCACAGGTTTTGGTAGTATTTTCTAAAATGTAACAATGCTTGTTCTTTTTTCTCTGTTCCAACTGATCAGATGTCTGAGCAAATAAATATTGTGACAGATCGTGTATCATGAAAAGTTCTTGAAGTTTCTCAATATTGTATTCTTGCCGTATCGCCCACCTCTGCTTACAATAATGCCAAACTATTCGGTGCCTCTGTTCTCAAATGTCATGAGTCTTTGAATATATCCTCGTTTTTTATTTTCTCCATACTCTGATTATCCCTAAGGATTAAACAGACTGTCTTTCTGTGCCTTTAAGACTGATATAGGGCTGAACGATTAATCGTTTTAATATCGAAACTGTGATTTTGAAATCAAGAGCTCCAGTTTTTTTTTTTTAATTGTGGTCTACATGTGGTCAAAAACAAAATTTCACCTAAAAACGTAGCGCTTGTAAACTGCCTGTAGATGAGTTAGACCAATCAGAGACAACCAACCCTCCATGTGTTGTGACATCACAACCACAACTGGCTTTCTGGCACACTACATTCAGGGGTCGAGCCTCAAGCCAGGAAAAGTGGATATTATGATCTTGGCAAAAAAAAAACAGGCCTGAACCTTAATTTATAGAAAAGAATCACAATTTAAATCGAAGTCGCAGTATTAGAAAAATCACAATTTGATATTTCCGCTGAATCGTTCAGCCCTAGACTTGAGCCCTGTTCTGATTGGCTGCTATTAAATAAATAAAGAGAGGAATTTGCTCTTAACCGGCCTCCTTCTTGGTTCCCCTTAGGTCAGAGGTGAATCTGCAGGTCAGCATGGCGTCGGGCAGCGTGAGCAGCGAGGAGGAGAAGAGCCTGCGCGAGTGCGAGCTCTATGTGCAGAAACACAACATCCAGCAGCTGCTGAAGGACTGCATCGTGCAGCTGTGCACCTCGCGGCCTGACAGGCCCATGGCCTTCCTCAGAGAGTACTTCGAGAGACTCGAGAAGGTCAGCGCTCACCGTTTTCTCCTTCTGGTGCTGATGGCAGGATTGTGCAGCTACATAACTACAAATGTACACCTCTGGTTACACGTTTGTGTTGATTTAGTGAAAATCAGTGAACACATCCTCTACAGAGACACCTCTGCACGTTTTAATGCACAATTACTGTTTATTTACTGAGTTTAACACATTGGAACAAAATAAAACTGGGAAAAGCACGTAATTCAGGGTGTTCAGACTTTTGCATGACTGTATATAATGTTTACAATATATGGATTTATATGTCAGGTCACTATTTACAATTGTATGTACACTCTTAAAGATGGTTCTTCAAGGGTTCTTTAGTAAAGAAAATGGTTCTATGTAGAATCATGAACACTCGAAGGAACTTTTGCTTGATTGAAGGGCTCTTTGCATCATGAAAGGGTTCCTTGGGTTGATGGAAAATGTGCATGAGTGTGCTATAGACTGTTCTATACAGAACCTTTTTGAAAAGGGTTCTATATAGCAGCCAAAAGGGTTCCTCTACTGTTACATGTTTGACATTGTAAAAATAGAACCCTTTTTAAAAACGTTCTATGTAGAACCATCTACAGCATATCCATCAATCTGAAGAACCCTTTCATGATGCAAAGAGCCCTTTGATCATGAAAAGTGTTCTTTGAGTGTTCATGGTTCTATATAGAACCATTTTCTTTACTAAAGAACCCTAGAAGAACCATCTTTTATACAGAGTGCAGTAAAATATTTATCCGGTTGTTGAATAGAATGAAAACCTGTGTTTCCTGTTTTTTGCTTTGTTTTTTTAAAGTGGATTTAAAGTGTAACACAGATTTTTATTTATTTATTTATTTGTTTATTTTAAATTCAACATTATTAAGTGTTTAAGATGTAAACAAGGTGGTTCAGAGCAGTTTGGTGTGAAACGCTCTGTTGTAGAGAAACTTACTGAGTCAGAACTGTCCACAGTGGTGGTGATAGGATCCAGACGTCCACCTCTAAAAGCTCCCTCACAGAAAGTTACTACATGAAATGGTTATGAATTCACTGTTTTTGTTTTTTTGGTTGTATCATGTGATGCTGGGTAGATTTGGGGTTTTTCATGCTTTTTCTCAACCAGGTCGTGTTACGTGTGTGATACCCTCTCTCTGTCTTATTGTCTGATGCGTCCCTTCAAGACGAAAAGACAAGAAATTCTGTAAACGACCCACATTGAGGGCGCATTGCTTTCACTTTTAGAAATCTGTTAGGATTTAAATGTTGTGTAGTGAAATTCCACCAGTGTTTCCAAGTTGGATAGTTCACCTCTGGGTTGGTGTGAAATGGTCTTTACAGTGGTGGTGATAGGAACCAGGGGTCACCATGACTACAACACAGATATAGACATTTTATTTACTATCCAGAACCACCAGTGAACCTACACGAGTCTTCTGAGTTTATATGGAATGTTGATGATGAAAAATAGTGGAAAATCTGAACTAATACGTTTTCTTTGGGGACTATTTTGCCTCACAACGCCCTCCATGTATCCACCATGAATGGATTTTAAGGCTAAAATCTTCTCAAAACTATCGTGAATCAATGGGCCTCGTTCACCAATATGTTCCTAAGTGTTTTCTTAAATTTGTTAGTAGCGTGACGTGTTACATAGGGGTACAGGAAAGATGCTGGAGGCAGGGTTGAAGGTTGCAGCACTCATTTTACTTTTATTTTATACACCGAAAAACTCCAAATCAAAGCTAGGGCACTTTTCAGTGGCTTTCATGCTAGACTTGCAGTCCTCTTCTCCAAAACAAAGCTTTTCAGCTCCTCAGTCTTTCGCTGCTCGTCCCTCTCCTTTCTCTCTCTGCTCTTTTTAAAGGTGCCCACGTTGCCTATGCCAGATTAGCCTCAGCTGGCTCTCATTAAGCACAGCGGGAGCTCCTGAGCCAAGAGAGCTCATTGCTCCTGCTCCACGGCTCGGCCACCGGGATCAAGCGTGAGGCTAATTAAAGAGGCCTTGCTGCTGGACCAAAGGTGGTGCCCAGGAGGTGGGGCTCGGGACTTTTGCATCGTCCACTACTCTCTCTCGGTTCTCCTTCTCTCCCCGCTGTCCTCGCGGGGTTTCGTCCTCTCTCTGAGTTCAGGCTCCGCCTTCCTTCCGGCTCTCGCAGCCGTCATCAGGGGCGGGATGTGCATGGCACAGTGTTCTTGAGCAAGATCCTAAAAAAAGTCTGTCAAAGCGCAGAACTGTTCTCACCTTTGTGCTCTTGAGTGTGTGTGTAGATTCTGTTCTCATCTAAGAACAAACCCCAGATAAGAGAACACTGGTGAATGTCACCAGTTGGTGAATGAGGCCCAAAGTCTCAGACATCAGGCAGTGAATTCATAACCATTTCATGTAGGAACTTTCTGTGAGGGAGCTTTTAGAGGTGGACGTCTGGTTCCCATCACCACCACTGTGAACAGTTCTGACTCTGTAAGTTTGTCTTGAACAGAGGAACCACTCGGAACGGCTCTGTTTACATCTTAACCACTAAATTATGTAGAATTTTTTCAAAAATTGGTGGAAGTCCCCTTTAATTCTCATTAGCTACACTCTTAGGGATTTCTTCAAGGGTTCTTTCGTAAAGACAATGGTTCTATATAGAACCACGAACACTCAAAGAACCATTTGCATGCTTAAAGTGTCTTTGCATGGTTCTTTAGATTGATGGAGGATGTGTTGTGTATATGGTTCTATATAACAACAAAAAGGGTTCTGCTAAGTTTGAAAATATTGGTGGAAGTCCCCTTCATGTTGTGGCAGTAATTGTGGGATAACGTGTGTCCTGTTTGCAGGAGGAGGCTAAGCAGCTCGTGAACCAGCAGAAGGCCAGCTCACGGTCAGACTCGCGGGAGGACGAGGTTTCCCCTCCCATGAATCCAGTGGTGAAGGGCCGCCGGAGGAGAGGAGCCATCAGCGCCGAGGTCTACACCGAGGAGGACGCCGCCTCCTATGTCAGAAAGGTCAGCAGCGCTAACGGCAGCTCTCTTTGTCTGTACTGAGCGTCCAGCTGCCGTCACGTCACTCCAGCCTCATGCAGAAAATGAATGAGCCTTTTGACCATTGTACTGCAGTGGTCATTCACACCACTCTGTCTGCTGGGCACAATAATCCGTTCCCTTGTGTTAGTTGTACATTGTCCCAAAAAAGGCTGAAGAATAATGTGAAAAGAAGAAAAACACTTAATTTTGTCTTTTTTCTGCTTTTTTTTAAAGGTTATTCCTAAAGACTACAAAACTATGGCAGCCCTCGCCAAAGCTATTGAGAAGAATGTGCTCTTTTCACACTTGGATGACAATGAAAGAAGGTAGGAAATTATTTGTGTTTATTTATTGATTTATTACTACGGATGCTCAATAATCAGCATCAGAGTGATGATTAGCTTTGACTGATACTTCATACTGATATTTAATGGTATTATTAATTGTATGGAGCTATTTATTTAAATTTTACCTAAATTTTATTTATTTTATTGCATACAGAAATAAATGTTCTATTTCTCTGTAATGCTGATCCAACTAGTTTGTAACTTATTTATGCATATCAGTGTTTATGTTTGAGAATCGGTATATCGGCATCAGCCCACAGTTCTCATGTCAGTGCACTGCAGCCCTATTTGTTTATATTTATATATGTTTTTTGGAAAACGTGCTGACTGACTGCTGTTTCTCTTTTTCTCCCACAGTGACATATTTGATGCCATGTTTCCAGTCACCTACATTGCAGGAGAGATTGTCATTCAACAAGGTGCAGCTTTGGTTCATTCTTTCTGATTTGATGAAATTGGAATTTATGGAGATCAATAAATGTTTTCTTTTGTTTCTGTAGGTGATGAAGGAGACAACTTCTACGTAATCGATCAGGGAGAAATGGATGTAAGTAGCACTCTGGTTTATCTGACATACACATAGGAATTCATCATTTTACACAGTTTTTTGCTGCACCGTTTGAGCACAGCAGCTCCTTTACTTTGAGTCAGAGTTTCAGGATGAATGGACCGACAGAAATGGACTAAAATAACTTAAAAGTAAAACGACTGAAATAGCCTTAACTACATTGACATACTTTGGAAGTAAAGGACATTTTGTAAGTTACCATTTTCAGGATGTTTGTTGTTTTGTTTGGGTTTTTTATTTTTTTTATTTTTTTACATTTACACCTATGGCATTTGGCAGACGCTCTTATCCAGAGCGACTTATGATGTGATCATTTTTTTTTTACACAGGTAGGCGAAGGCAGTGTTAGGAGTCTTGCCCAATGACTCTTATTAGTATAGTGTAGGGTTCTTACCCAGGTGGGGCATTGAACCCCAGTCTACAGCGTAGAGGGCAGTGGTGTTACCCACTACACTGTACCAAGTAGTTACGTGTATCTTAGTACCATAGTGTTTACTGTAACTGTTATGGTTAGGGTTAATGTGCTGCCCTGGGGGTGGTATTCGTCTAATGTTTCCGAAAAATGCAGTGAAAAACTGAATTTTACTGAATTTGTCTGCTCTGCAGTGCTGAAAAACACTCCTTTTGTTTGATAGGTGTATGTCAACGGCGAGTGGGCAACCAGCATCGGCGAGGGCGGCAGCTTCGGGGAGCTGGCGCTGATCTACGGCACCCCCAGAGCAGCCACGGTCAGAGCCAAGACCAACGTCAAACTGTGGGGCATCGACAGGGACAGTTACAGGAGAATACTGATGGTAACGCATTGGCACCATGGAAAAACACACAAAACATGCCTCACAAATCAGCGGCTGCTGTTTTGCCTAAACTGAACTCTTTGCTTTTAGGGAAGCACTTTGAGAAAGAGGAAGATGTACGAAGAATTCCTCAGCAAAGTGTCCATTTTAGGTAAGTGTTGCTTATCTCTTCAACAGTGGAGCATCTCCGCTAATACAGCACTGAGTTTTAAAGCTGTGGTCAGAGTATTTTTGGAAGAGGTTCAGCCTTTTGGTACTGCTCTAGACGTTTAATGTGATTTTTAGAATATTATTAGCAGCAAGTAAAAAAATCAATAACTTAAAATGGCTCCAATCGCAAAAACCAACAGTAAAGGATTTTTCTCGATGTGATTTAAGATAATTTTTGAAAATCTCAATCTACAGGTGGAAAAATTCTGGGTGAGCACATAAGTTGATCAAAAAATGTGAAGCGATTTGGTTTTAGATTCTGAATTGTTCCGTTTAGGTCTAATTTTACGTAAAACTTTTAGTTCTATATAACTTTTCCTGAAAAAAAAAAAAGATGGAAGAGCACAAGTTGAGAAAATGCCTGAAGTTTACTGTCATTTGATATGTACACTCTTAAAAATGGTTCTTCAAAGGTTCCTGTAGCAAAGAAAATGATTATATATAGAACAATGAACACCCAAAGAACCTTAGGCATGGTTACTTGGTTCTTTGCATCATGAAAGGGTTCTTGAAATTGACAGAAAATGTGCTGTGGATGGTTCTCTTAGAAAATGGTTCTATATAGCACCATATATATATATATATATTTTGTTTCAAGCTTGTAATATTAGAAGAACCCTTTTGTGTGCTGTATAGAACTCTTTTCAAGTGTCAGATCTGTAGCACATTCATGCACATTCTATCAACCTGAAGAACCCTTTCATGATGCAAAGAACCCTTTAACCATGCCAAAGGTTCTTTGAGTGTTCATGGTTCTATATAGAACCATTTTCTTTGCTAAAGAACTTTTTATTTAAGAGCGTAGCATTATTGCTGTTGCAGTAAGAGAAATAATTGTGATCAGCAGAACAAGGATAAAAGAGCTTTAGATGTAACGATGGTGTGTCTATAAAACGGGCCGGCCACCATCAGGAAATTTTAGCTGATGATTGTTTGCTGTTGTTGTAGTTAATGATATAAGTGTCTTTTTATTCATGTAACTATTAAAAGTTCAAGCCTAAATGCAGCTCAGTTGGCTGATTAGCTGTCTTGCTTCCTGGCTGTCTTTACTTTGGAGCCAACACTGGGTTGTACTGACAAAGTAATGCACTGCTGTTTGCACGCAAGACTGCAGTCATCTCAGTAACTGCAGTCGTCTCAGTAACTGCAGTCATCTCAGTAACTGCAGTCGTCTCAAAGAATCGCGATTAGGCGATTGTGTAATTGTGACATGCCTAGAACGATTGATCGGAGTTGTCCAGTCTACGTTCTTCTTTGTGGTTCTTTATGGATCTGAAAGCTGGACGATAGAAAAGCAGGACGGGACGAAATATTGATGCCTTGAACTTGTGTTGGCGAAGACTTTTGAGAGTTCAGCCCAATCCCATTTCACCTCTCGCCCCTACCACTCAGCCCTGCCCTTTCTGTGTTCACGCCTAGGGGTAGGGTGTCCTGATTCCTGCTGAGATAGAGGGGTCGGGTCGAAGTGTTAGGGCTTAAAATGGTCATTTGGGATTCAGACACGTTCAGACTCGACAGGCAGTCACTATCTGACAGCAGAAGCTAGAATTTCTTAACCTAACGTGACACAGCTCACTATTTATCTAGGGAGTACGGAGCCGTTTGGGACTCTGGGTTTGACGCGACTTCTGTCTGAAACACAGACATTTGAAGCGTGTGAGACTTTCAGGTGACGTTCTTTAGTCTTTTTTTCAGCGCTGTTTTTCAGTGAATCATATCGTGAGTCCTTTAATTCAAGCCTGTGTTATTAATGATGGAGTTGTTTAGCATGTTTACTATCTTTTAGCCTGTTAGCTAGCTGACCAGCCTAGTTCTAGATAAGAAAATAAGTTGTCAGCCCCTCAGTTTAAACAGAACTAGGGTTCTTACTTCATCAGTGCACTCGGTTCTCCATGTGAGCAGCGTTAGAGTCAAAGATTAATCCTTTAACAGCAGCAGGGTTTTTCGTGCCGTGGCGCAGTGATACAGAGTTCAGGTGTTGTGAGGCGGTCACAGCTTTTGTTACAACGGCTTCGAGCGCAGCTCAGCCAATCAGACTTCAGGACCGGATCTAATAATCCTCGTTATCTGCCTATGTGCTGCTAGGAAAATCAGCGGTGTCAGTGTTGCGGTTCACTGTTATAGAGGAAATGACGTCCAGCGCTGCTTGTAACTAACATGATCACCTGTGGTTTCCAGAGTCTCTGGACAAGTGGGAGCGTTTGACGGTGGCTGACGCTCTGGAGCCGGTGCAGTTCGAGGACAGTCAGAAGATTGTGGTGCAGGGAGAACCTGGAGATGAGTTCTTCATCATACTGGAGGTTCCCGCCTGCCTTCTGCTCTGCTTTTTCACTCTTGTTGTCTTCTTCCTGCGTCTCTGTGTGTCTGAAGCTTTGTGCTTGTGGTTCCTCAGGGCTGTGCAGCTGTGCTGCAGCGAAGGTCAGAGAATGAGGAGTTTGTGGAGGTGGGCCGGTTAGGACCCTCAGACTACTTTGGTGAGTGTGCTCATAAAGGAGCAGTTCAACAAAAAATTAAACACTCGAAGAAGCTTTTGCATGATTAAAGGTTCTCTGCATGGTGAAATGGTTCTTCAGATTGGTGGAGAATGTGCTGTAGAGGGTTCTGTATAGGGCCTTTTTGAAAAGATTCTTTATAGCACCCAAAAGGGTTCTTCTGTTGTTAAAAGCTTGACATCATAACAATAGAAGAACCCTTTATGGTGCTACGTAGAACCCTTTTTAGAAAGGTTCTATATAGAACCATCTACAGCACATTCTTTAGAACCTTTCATGGTGCACAGAAAAACATGGTTCTTCAAGGGTTCTTTAGTAAAGAAAATGATTCCATATAGAACCATGAACACTTAAAGAACCCTTTGCGTGATTAAATGTTTCTTTGCATCATGAAAGTGTTCCTCAGATTGATGTAGGATGTGTTTTGTGTGGTTGTATAGAACCTTTTTGAAAAGGGTTCTTCTATTATTACAGGCTTGACACCGTAACAGTAGAAGAACCCTTTTCAAAAGGTTCTACATAGAACCATATACAACTCATTCTCCATCAGTCTGAAGAACACTTTCATGATGCAAACGAATCATTTAATCACGAAAATGGTTCTTTAAGTGTTCTTGAACTGTTTTCTTAACCTAAGAACCATCTTATTTTGAGAGTGTAGTTTATCAGCCGTCTGTGCTGTAACACTGTGTTCTCCGTTCTCCATTCTCTCTCTCTCGTCCAGGTGAGATCGCCCTCTTGATGAACCGTCCCCGTGCTGCCACCGTGGTGGCCCGCGGCCCGCTCAAGTGCGTCAAGCTGGACCGGCCGCGCTTCGAGCGCGTCCTGGGGCCGTGCTCGGACATCCTCAAACGCAACATCCAGCAGTACAACAGCTTCGTCTCGCTGTCCGTCTGAAGCCCCCTGCCTCACGTACACACACTTGAACCGCAGGGTCCACCCGTGCAGTCGGCTTTCATTTCGACATTTCTGCTCCTCCTTTATTATGTTACAGGCTTTCCAGTGATGAGGAGGAATTCCAGTGTCTCAGTATCTCTGCATAACTCAGTGATTGTGATGTAAACAGAGTGACTCAGAGTGGTTTGGTGTGAAATGGTTCAGATGTCCTTACAGTGGTGGTGATAGGAACCAGGGGGCGGATTCACGGAAGTGTCTTAAGAAAGAAAATCTTCTTAAATGTTTGTTTTTTTCTTAACTTAAGAAAAATTGTTAAGAAAAGCGTTTTGAGAAATGATTATTCTTTAACTAACTTCTTAAGAATTATCTTATTTTTTCTTAACTATTTTCTTAAGAATGCTTCTTGTGTTCTTGTAAATATGATGTTTTTCTTAACCTTACGACAGACCCTCAGGCTGTGAGAGTCGACAAGGTGAGCGTCTGAATTGATCACGGACGCTGCCTCTGCTGCTCCTGCTCATCCTCATATGTCACCCCACAATTATCATATTTTCCAAAGGGGAATTTTTCATTTATCCTGTTGGGTATTCCTTCCACCATCACCTCTAGTTCTTGTTGGCTAATTTTTTTAGACACTTGGTTTTTCCTCCATTTTGCTCCTCTGAGTGGATTAAACTAAATAATGAAAATAACAGTGAATACAGATTCAAACTGTATCTCGAGTCGTTTATGGGAGGCTGTAAAGTGCAACAAAGCCCACATAAGAAAACGATGAAGATTTTCTTAAGAAAATCCTAAGAAAATAATTAAGATTATCTTAAGAAAATATTTGAGAACTTAAGTTTCTTTCAAGAATTGCATTTAAGAACATTCTTATGAACTTTTTAGTGTTTGTCTTAAAACCTTTGCAGATTTTTTTCTTAAGAAAGCTTTCGTGAAGTCGCCGCCAGGAGTCGCCATGACTTCAACACAAATATAGACATTTTATTTACTATCCAGAAAACCAGAGTCTTTCTGAGTTTATATGGAATGTTGATGATGGGGAAATAGTGGAAAATCTGAAATATTAAGTTTTCTTTGCCTCACAGCCTCAACCATGAATAGATTTTAAGGCCAAAATCGTCTCAAAACTATCATAAAACAGTGTCTCACAACTTTCTGTGAGGGAGCTTTTAGAGGTGGACGTCTGGTTCTATCACCACCACTGTGAACAATTCTGAACCACTCTGAACGACTTTGTTTACATCTTAGCCATTTGACTGTGCAGAAATATTGAAAATTGTAGACAAACTTCATCACTTGACTGCTTGAACATTGCATACCACCCCCCCCCACCCCACCCCCCGGTTACCAAACCCAAAACCCGCTTCCGACGTACCGCTGAAGGGACAATCAAACTGAATCCACTCGGAATGCATCAGCCTTCGTGAGCAGCGTCCTTACGCCGAGCTGTTTCAGACCGGAGTGAGATTATATTTTTAAACGTCTACTCAATGAAGGCCCGTCTACTCTTTCCTTTCGGCTGACTGTGATTTCGTTGGGAGTAGTTTTCTAAGAATAGTTTTGTAAGAATACCGAACTGTGCAAGCAGCTGTAATAAGAAGTACTTGGGGAGATCGTTTCCTTTCACAGCCCTGAGCGGCGACTGTACGCATGCTTATAAAGTTGCTCTTTATAAAGCCTTATGTGTTCTGCCCCCTCCTGCTACCTAGAACCGTACGAGTGGTTTCTGAAGTATGTTGTGTGTAGCGTTCTCTGAATGAAGGAATTGTATATTGTTTTTTTTCTCATCACCATTCCAGCGTAGGTACCCAGCTGCATGTTAAATCACATTTTGCCGTCTTTCAGTTCCCAGGTTTTTTGCTCTCACCGCAAAGTCGACCGGCTTACTGGTTAGATTTGTTCAGCTTTAAAGCCAGAGCCAAAACGCCGGCGGTGACATCACGTCTTACTTAAGATTCACGCTCGCAAACGCTGAACGTCTGCCGGGAACGCTTTAATCAGCCTTTTAGCGTTTTTAATCCATTTAAACAGAACAGGATGATTGACAGTCGCTGCTGACATCCCATCATAATAAAACTAATGTGTCACCACAACTTAGGAACGCTTAGGAATGACATGTCATGCCCATGATTTACTAATTTACTAAGGCGTGGGAATAAGATGTGATTGAGTGATTAAGTCATGGCCACAGCTTAGCAAGGCAAGGGAATGAGATGCTTATTTTGTGTCTATGGTTTAGCAAGGTGTGGGAACAAGATAATATGTCCTAGCCATTTATTGGTAAACCGTGGGAATGAGAATTATTTGATGGCTGTGATTCAGTAATTCTTCATGATAATGAATTATTAAGGTACAACAATGAGACAGTTAAGTCATGGCCACAACTTAGTAAGATGTGGAAACGATAAAGTTTTGACTATAAATTATTAAGGCGTGGGAATGAGATAATTATTTCATGCCTGTGACTTAGTAATGTGTGGGAATGAGATAATATGTCTTGGCCATGAATTACTAAGGTGTGGGAACAAGATAAGGCACAAGAATGACATAATTAAGTTATGGTAATAAAGTGGCTGCAACTTGGTAAAGTTTGGGAATGAGATAATCAAGTTGTGGCTATGACTTATTGAGACATGGGAATGAGAATATTTTCTGGCCGTGAATTAGTAAGACATGGGAATGAGATAATGTCCTGGCCATGAATTAGTAAGACATGGGAATGAGATAATGTCCTGGCCATGAATTAGTAAGCCATGGGAATGAGATAACATGTCTTGGCCATGAATTGGTAAGGCGTGGGAATGAGATCATTACATTGTGGTAATGAAGTGTGGCTGCAACTTAGTAAAGTGTGGGAATGAGATAATTAAGTTGTGGCTATAACTTATTAAGACATGGGAAAGAGATAATATGTTCTGGCCATGAATTAATAAGGCGTGGGAATGAGATAATTAAGTTGTGGCTATAAAGTTGTGGCTACAACTTGGTAAAGTGTGGGAACGAGATAATTAAGTAGTGGCTATGACTTATTAAGGCATGGGAATGAGATAATATGTCCTGGCCATGAATTAGTAAGACATGGGAACGAGACAATTAAGTTGTGGCTATGACTTAATTACCACAACTCTGTTATCTCGTTCTCTCACCTTACTGAGTCGTGGCCGTGATTAGGGTCCCGTTCCGCGTTCTAGTCCGCGTTCTTATTTTCATTATGAAGGATCGTCGCCCACCAGCGTCCTGATGATGAAACCCACAGACAGGGTCTCAGTTTAAAGCTCCAGTATTAAAGCGGTCAGTATGCTCCGCACCGCGACCCCTAACTCTGTTCTCTGGTCTGCTGTAGAAGCCTGGTGCCATAAAGCATTATGGGATGCATGCTTTGTTTTCCTGCTCTTCATAAACAGATAAACAGGTGTTCGTTTGTGTGAAACAGGCTACGTGGATGTTCAGCAGGTCCGTTGGGCTCGTCGTGGAGAGAGAGCAGCTTAGTGAGGAACGAGTGCAGAAACAGGTTTACAGCACGACCTGGTTTCTCTGTCGGCCTGTTCTGTTCAGTGCAGCCTTACTCAGGATTGTTGTACCGGTTTGATGGACGCAGCCATCGGTAATGTTGAATTCCTATGTTAGAAGGATCTTGGTAGCTTATTGATGCAGATGTTGAATCGTTAAGCCCAAAAGCATATTCGCCCCCCGTTTGATTAACTGTAATAGGATTTTGAGATATATTGCTCGTTTAATATATTTGACCCCTTTTAAGAAAGTTCCGTGCCCTCGAGCTTCATAGGACAACAAATGTGAGATAAATACTTTATTATGTTCATTTTGCTTCATTTCTGTCCTGGATCACTTTTAACCTTGACGTTTCACTTCACTCTTTCACATTATGTATTTATCAGATCGTTTTGAGGTGCCCAGCTCCAGATCTGGAGCACAGGTTAATGATTTCACTGCTCAAATACACACACTGAACCTGGCAATTAAAGGGGAATTCCACCCATTCTTCAAAATTTGTCTCAGTGTGTGAGATGTAAACAGAGTGGTTTGGTGTGAAATGGTTCTGATGTCTTTTCAGTGGTGGTGATAGGAACCTGGGGACGCCATGACTACAACACAAATATAGACATTTTATTTACTATCCAGAACCACCAGTGAACCTACGCGAGTCTTCTGAGTGTATATGGAATGTTGATGATGGAAAATTGTGGAAAATCTGAAATAATAAGTGTTTTGCATCTTTTTTTAGAATTCGTTTTAGACCAAAATCTCAGAATTATCGTAGATGGACGTCTGGTTCCTATCACCACCACTGTGAACAATCCTGACTCGGTAAGTTTATCTAGAACAGAGCGTTTCACACCAAACCACTCAGAATGACTCTGTTCACATCTTAACCACTTAATTATGCATTAATTATGAATTTCTGAAAAATGGTGGAAATCCCCTGTAACTGCTGAATGAGGGTCTGTTTGAGCAGGGCGGTAGATCACCTCTCTCACAGTTACAGTGATGCTTTACTGCACTGTATGTATGAGTGAGTGGATGGATTGAAGAGTGTTCTTATGTATTTGTATGTACAAGGAAAATATTACTCCAGCTTGCCTTGGCTTCTGTTACTGAGGAGTATACGTACTCTCGCTAGCCCAGCCTTTGAGCTGGTTCTGTGAAGCTTGCGGTCATATTTGAACTGCAGGTACTGTACACAGTGGACCATTTTACTCTTCTTTTTTAATTTTATTTTACCCAAATATTAGCTTTGATTTCCAGTGTGTCATGCCCAAACGATAATCTTTTTTGGTATAGATTGTCCTAATGGCAGTTTAAGCAATAAAAAAAGTTATTATTGAACCGTGTTTGCATTCGTTTCATTTATTGATTGATTTATTTTTACTGTGTCTGAGCCAACACACACACACACACACACACTCTCACACACACACACACACACACACACACACACACACACACACACACACACACGATTCTCTCTTTATTCCACCGAACACTGAACCATCTAATAATCATCCAGTTTTAACACTATGCAGGGCAGCAATGCTCATCTTGCCTGCAGTGCTGTGTGCTCACCACGAGGGGGCAGTCAAACCGAGGACAAAAAGCTGGACAGTGTTTCTGCTGAGACTGTTACACAAGTTGTGGCCATGACTTAATTACCACCACTCAGTTATCTCATTCTCACACCTTACTGAGCCGTATATATTGTAATAAGACCTCCCTTATTTTTTTTTATATAAGATTAAAATATGTTTTATATAACAAACTATAACCAGAGAACTTTGTAGAGAGAATTATGTCTCTGTCATGTCCTCCGGGTTTCTCAGACACTAGAGGGCGCTCCCGAGCGAGTCCAAAATGGATGAGTTAAGCATTTGAGCAAAATCATAGTTTATAAATGATTAAACATTTTTAATATTAAAGAATTCATTTCATTTTCTGAACACAGAACAGCATAAAACATTTCAACACTGCTGTTATATTTTTAAGAGCTTTTAAACTCGAGTTATAGGAGCTTAAAAAGGCACCTCATGTACATTCATGACATCAGTGAGCGCGAACAGCCAATGAGCTGCTCCGCTCGCCAATCAATCAGCACTCAGTAGCAGTAAAGCCCGCCTCCTGCTGCCCAAAACCCGTTTGCTGTAGAATAAAGGAAACATACAGGTGAGTTTTCTTTGTTTATTTAGTGAAATCCATCCTTCTACTGTCTAAAACTAAAGGAAAGTTCTGGTTCAGTGATTAGAAACTATTTTAACTTTTCGTTTTTAGCCGTTGAGCTGCATTCACTCCCATTCATTGAGGACTTGCTCACGGGCGCCCTCTGCTGTTTAGCGGTCCTGTCTTTGATATAATGGGGGAAATAGGAAGCAGCCAGACTCCTCATGAACCGGCTCTGCTAGAACCTCTTTCACTTTTATAACAATCATTTATTCAGTTTATTACAATTGTCTTTAGGTGTATTTGAGATTACACACAAAATACTTAGACATGCAGAAATTTGATGTATGGCAATATGTTGATTTCAAAAGACACAAGCATTTGTGGATCCAACAGATACGGACTGATGTGTGGCATATATGCCAGCTTAATTGAAAGTGGTCATTTTCAAATATGGGACATGTATTTCAGTGGTCAGGACCCTCACAGAGCATTTGGGTGGTGGGTCATTCTCAGCACTGCAGTAACACTGACGTGGTGGTGGTGTGTTAGTGTGTGTTGCGCTGGTCTGAGTGGATCAGACACAGCAGTGTTGCTGGAGTTTTTAAACACTGTGTCCACTCACTGTCCACTCTATTAGACACTCCTACCTTGTCGGTCCACCTTGTAGATGTAAAGTCAGAGACGATAGCTCATCCGCTGCTGCACAGTTTGTGTTGGTCATCCTCTAGTCCTTCATTAGTGGTCACAGGACGCTGTTGGTGGACTATTCTCAGTCCAGCAGTGACACTGAGGTGTTTAAAAACTCCAGCAGCTCTGCTGTGTCTGATCCACTCAGACCAGCACAACACACTAACACACCACCACCATGTCAGTGTTACTGCAGTGCTGAGAATGATCCACCACCCAAATAGTACCTGCTCTGTGAGGGTCCATGGGGGTCCTGACCACTGAAGAACAGGGTAAAAGGGGGCTAACAAAGTATCAGAGAAACAGATGGACTACAGTCTGTAACTGTAGAACTACAAAGTGCACCTATATAGTAAGTGGAGCTGATAAAATGGACAATGAGTGTAGAAACAAGGAGGTGGTCAGAATGTTATGCCTGATCGGTGTAAATGTGTAACACATACGTAACAATATGCGATAGAAAACTATATGGATGGCGTATACTGCTCATATGTTAGCTGCATGTTATATAGATGTTTTAATATTGCTGGTATATTTAATTTAGATTTTTTGATTTGGGTGTTTGTATCAGACAGATACTACATATGTGTTCACTCACCTATCAGATATATGCATAAATGCCCAATATGTGCATATATTTTGAAATATATGGTTGACCCTTAATGATATATGCGAATATGGCCATATGTCAGATCTCTGTGTGGGATATGAGCTCCTCCATACTGATCACTATATAGACTGATAAATCATTTATTAGTGCCTCTCGACCTGTTAGTTCCTTAATCAGTATTTTATTCCCTCTAATGACCATTATTAGTAGATTATTAAATTAATCTAATTACCAACAGCATTTACAACGTCAGGCATAATAATTAGCTCACATCGTTGTAGCATTGGCAACACTTCAGCTTAGCAATTCTCATTCTAGCGATGCAGCTGCCACTTCCTCCTTTTAAATTACCTTCACCTTCTATTAAATTAAGTATTAAAATCTTCAATTTCCAGCTTTTAAAAATCTCTCGCTGGTTAACGCTGACAGTCATACGTGTTTATATTCCTAGAGGTTGTATTATATTTTTTAGTGTTCCTACAGCGGTGCAGGGTTGCCAGGTCCAACATGTGACATGCATTTCAGCCATATCTTTCAGCCAGCAGGAATCTCCGCTCCAAAGTTTGCTGAAAAGCTGCTCAGAAGGTGAAATGTTATAATTTTTCGCCTGTATTTTCAGGCTGGAGGGAAAATGGTGGACCTGGCAACCCCGCACCACGGTATGCAATGCTGAAAACACAAGATTTCGTAAAAAGAAAACAAAAAAACAGCGTTAACCAGTGAGATGTCATAACAATAGAAGAACCCTTGTTGGTGCTACATAGAACCATTTTCAAAAAGCTTCTCTATAAAATCAAACACAACACTTTCTCCATCGGTGCGTTCACTGCACGAAATGGCATCTTATCAAGTGAAATGATCTTAAAGCCAGTCGATATATATCTAATATTTCCTATTTTTAGATGGTTGTGCACTTATTATCTAACTTATTTCTAGACATTATTTACTTGTTTTAAGTAATTTTGTTAAGTAAAATTATTTCACTATACTGGCAGATAACTTTGCTGGTTTCAAGCACATTTATTACAACAAGCACAGCTGTCTGTCAATATAGAGAGATAATTTTACTTAATAAAATGACTTAAAACAAGCAAAAATGTCTAGAAATAAGGTGAATAATCTTAAATTAAGCTCACAACAATCTCAACAGGAGGAAATATTAGATTTATTGACCACATTTAAGATAATTTTACTTGACAAGACACCATTTTTTGCAGTGTTCTTTGAGTGTTCACTGGGCCTCATTCACCAGCCATTCTTCAGAAGAAATTTCGGTAACACTTTCTATGAATGTCACGTTTGTAAGCATCTATAAACACATTCATAACATGTTATAATGCCCTCATATGGCATTATAAACATGATTATAAACATTTATAAAAATGAATTACACTGGATTACACTTTATAGCCATGTTTATTATACATTATGAATTGTTAATATAATGCATTATAAATAGTGTTAATAACATGTTATACTGTCAGTGCCAAAGAATTCAGTCCCAGCTTGGAGAGTGTAAAGACAAATACCAAGCTAACGGTGGTGAACATTACCTTTCCCACATTGGGTAAAACACTGATGGCAGCTCTAGTTTAAACTCTGACATTTGAAGCCTGTAATGTGCTTTACTGTGAATGTTTTAGTGTTTCAGTAAATCCTTCAGTAAATACTTCAACTTGAAGCCTCACTCTGAACACTGGAGGAGGCTTTAGTACAGTACGCTTCACTTTACTTAGAGCGGACAAATACCACTTATGAGCTCTTATAATTTGTTATGATCAGTACTTATAATGTATTATATTAACAATTCATAATGCATTATGAGCATGGCTATAATATGTAATGCATTTTTATAAATATTTATAGCTATGTTTATAATGCCTTATGAGTGCATTACAACATGTTATGAATGTGTTTATAGATGCTTACAAACATGACATTCATAGAAAGTGTTACCGAAATTTCTTCTTATGCAGTTTTCACGAAGATTCTAACCTTCACTTTCTTATCTGGGATTTGTTCTTAGGTAAGAACAGAATCTACACACACTCAAGAGCACAAAGGTGAGAACAGTTCTGCGCTTTAAGAACACGTCATGAATCTGACGGAGACTATTTCTCAGGATCTTTCTCTTAAGAACACTTAAGAACAAACTTAGGAAGATACTGGAGAACGAGGCCCAGTGTCTTTACTGAAGAACCGTCTTCTTAAGAGTGTATGTGAAGATTTGATCTAGTGTCCTCAGCAGGTTTTATGGTGCTTTTGCTTGTAATGCTTTCACAATAGTCTGCACAGGGCCCCCTGGTGGTCGAGGCCCTGGGCTGCAGCCGCTAAAGCCGCATTGGGCCAATACAGTCCTGCTGATTCCGTGGAAGATGGATTTCTTAGGCAGCGTCCAAATATCCCAAACGGTTCTGCTTCTTCCTCCTGATCCAGCTCCTGTCCTCCGTGACCTGGGAATTCATTTCTGTGGCGCCACCTTGCCAGCTGTCCTCGTGACAGGAGAGGCAGCCAAAACGGCTTCAGTACTGAATGACATTAAAACTTCTGCATAACTCAGTGTGTGAGATGTAAACAGAGTCATTCAGAGTGGTTTGGTCTGAACTGGTTCAGAGGTCTTTACAGTGGTGGTGATAGAAACCAGGGGACGCCATGACTACAACACAAATATAGACATTTTATTTACTATCCAGAACCACCAGTGAACCTACACGAGTCTTCTGAGTTTATATGGAATGTTGATGATGGGAAATAGTGGAAAATCTGAAATAATAAGTTTGGTTAAGATAAGTAAGTAAACAGAGTGGTTCAGAGTCATTCAGAGTGGTTTGGTGTGAAACGCTCTGTTCTAGATAAACTTACCGAGTCAGAACTGTTCACAGTGGTGGTGATAGGAACCAGACGTCCACCTCTAAAAGCTCCCTCACAGAAAGTTCCTACATGAAATGGTTATGAATTCACTGCCTGATGACTGAGACACTGTTTTATGGTAGTTTTGAGAAGATTTTGGCCTTAAAACCAAGGTGCGAAATACAGGGAGTCCTGAGGGTTCTGGGACCCCCTAATTCATCTCTTGGACCCCTCAATGTCCAAGAGATGATCCAGATTCAGTGAAGCTGATTGTTTATCTCCTTCCCCCACAATCAGCTTCTGTCTTTGGTGTTCTTAACTAACTAGAGCTGCAGCCCTGCTCTGCCTCAGGGTGGCGCTGTAGCAGACTGGCTCACCCAGTTGGTCCTTCATAGCCTAGAAACTGTAACTCTGCCCGGATTCCTCTGAAAAACTTTACAATGAGCTGCAGCAGATCTGTAAATCTGAAAACTCGCCCAGTTTCCCAAGAGTTTGGAGTGAAGAGTGACTGTTCCTCATGTCTCACACTGAAGACAGAAGAGGAGACGAGGAAGATCTCAGTTACTGTGAGGAAGAGCGCAGAACCGCACTAGAACAGAGACTCTACAGAAGAGGAGACGAGGAAGACCTCAGTTAATGTGAGGAAGAGCGCAGAACCGCACTAGAACAGAGACTTTATAGATGAAGAACCAATAAAACAAACATTTTGGTGCCATTAAAGCTAGCACCAGCAATCTATTCATGGTGGAGGGATACATGCAGGGCGTTCTGAGGCAAAATAGTTCCCAAAGAAAATGTATTTTTCCAGATTTTCCACTATTTTCCATCATCAACATTCCATATAAACTCAGAAGACTCGTGTAGGTTCACTGGTGGTTCTGTATAGTAAATAAAATGTCTATATTTGTGTTGTAGTCATGGCGACCCCTGGTTCCTATCACCACCACTGTAAAGACATCGGTAAATTCTTCTGTAATGGAGCACTTTCTCTTTAAACCGTGTTGAGCTGTTTCCTTGTAATGGATTTTAATGAAGAAAAAGATGTAAAAACTGTACTTTATTTTGCTTTATTTTTGGATTAGAGGTTCAACCTTTTTTCATCCGTTTTTAAGTGGGAAGGGAACAAAAGCACTGCATGGTTCTTTTCACAGAATGTTGTGTTTACCAGTAATATGTCCTCATTGTTTTAGTACATTAAGGCACGTTAACCTTTATGTTAAAGGGGCATTCCGGCCAAAAACTAGCGTTTAATATGTTATTTGTTACGTTAATATTTTTGTAATATTTTCTAATTTTGGCTAACGGCCCCCTTTAATCTTAATAGTTCATCCCACCCAACCAAAGGTTTTCCTAGTCTTTAAATTGGAGCATTTCGCTCAAATCCCATTGCGACACCGCAGTAGGAGGCAAGTATGGTTACATTTCTTATTTTGGCTAGAATGCACCTTTAATCTTAATAGCTCCTCCCACCTTCAAGATACATCATCCGAAGGCTTTCCTAGTCTTGAATCCTGTAAACCTCCCTCAAATAACATTGCGACACAGCAGCAGGAGGCAAGTAGGCTCGTTTACAACAGATTTAGCCATTTATATATTTCTAATTTTGGCTAGAGTGCCCCTTTAATCTTTATAGGTCGTCCCACCTTCGAGATACATCATCCAAAGGTTTTCCTAGTCTTTAAACCTGAGCATTTTGCTCAAATCCCAATGCAACACTACAGCAAGAGTCAAGTAGGCTCATTTACAACAAACATATTGATGGTTATATTTCTCATTTTGGCTAAAGTGCACCTTTAATCTTAATAGTTCGTCCCACCTTCAGGATACACCGTCTGAAGGTCTTCCTAGGCTTTAAACCTGAAAATCTTGCTTAAATCCCACTGCAAAACTGCAGCAGGAGGCAAGTATGCCTTTTTACAACAGACGTAGCCATGGTTACATTTCTCATTTTGGCTAGAGTGCCCCTTTAAGTGTGTGAGAATGTCCCAGGCAAAACCAAGGCTAGGTTATATTAAAAAGAAAGGCTCAGCTTGTTTGAATGGGAATTAAACCCCAAGCACGACTGTGCTTTGTTTAGGCTCAAACACTTGCTGCCCAGTGTTTTAGTTTCACAGATTGAGAACAAAAGTGGGTCGATTACGGCTGCCCGACAAGCAAAAAATGAACAAACATGTTCTATCCTGCTTTAAAACCACCTTGCATCAACACTTGTGTTGCAAGGAATCGCATATCGCAGGCTGGAACAAAGCTTTGGCGAGGCACGGCCGCCTCTAGACGCTTCGGATGATTTCTGTTCTGGGCCGTTTTGGAGATTCCACACGAAAGCCCACGAGCTGCATCCAAAACAGAGAGCCAAGGATTATACGGCTCGCTCTCCGTCTGGAAAGAAAGCCATAAAGTCTATCTGTTTTCGACGTTTTAATGGCGTACACTTTCCTGTGGAGAAATCAAGCTCTTAACTGCTCTCTTCCCCCTCCGCCTCTCCCTCTCCCTCTCTCCCTCTCTCTCTCTCTCTCTCTCGCTCCCTCTCTCACTAAAACATGCTTACGTGTCCTGTTTGTGTGAAGGATCATTACAGCTCAGCTGTCACTAATGAGTGTTCAAAAGGAGCTGAAAACTAGAAGAAAAAGCCTCTTCCTTCTCTCGCACTCTGAGAGCAGCTGGCTGATAAAAGGCAGCCCCTCTTCAGCTTCTCAGAACCATCACGATATATCTGTCAATACTTTCGTCCTGGAAAACAGTGGTTTGTGAAGCTTCTGACATCCGGTACATTGTCTGCACACCAACCAGTCTCGCTCCGTTCAGCTAGAGGTTACGCTCGCTCCACAGGCAACTATGACGGAACCAAAACACCACAAGTCTTTCTGGGGCCCGAGGAGAGTCCACACGTCCCTCAGCTCCAGCCTTCTTCTCTCTTCTCGCTCTTGTCTTGCATATCACCCACTCTGACCCTCGTCCCCTCTTTCTGTCGCGCCACTGGACGCCACGAAGTCCGTGACCACCACCTGCGCCTCGCCCAGCTTCTTCACGCATCGGCCCACGGTCTTCAGCACTCGGCCCAGCCGCCGGTCCAGTGCCTGCAGGTGGGGCTCGGTCAGGATGGGCATGAGGGAGTCTCGGCCCAAAGACTCCCTCATCACGTCGCTCAGCCGGTACTCGGGCCGGGCCAGCAGCCGGAGACGCAGCAGGGTGGAGCGCTTGATGCTGCAGAAGAAACCAAGACCATTTTCGTGTTAACAGTTGATGAAGATGACAGACTTTTAAACATTTCCCCATAATTCAGTTCCTGAGATGTAAACAAAGTCATTCAGAGTGGTCTGATGTGAAAGAGTTTGTTGCTGAGAAACTATTCAACGCTTTGCAGCAGGGAGGTGGGAAGTAGGGATGGTCAGGGGGCTGCAGCACCCCCAGATTTCAGAACTGCAACTGCTAAAAATAATAAAATAAATATAACAAAAGAGTTTTCAAATATTTTGAGCACAGCGGAGACCTGCGTGAGCATCCTGTAGGTGCATGTATAACTAAATAATAAATAAAACAAAATAAAAACAGTATTTAGCATGACGTCAGGGTGTACGTCACCCAAAAAATTCAGCACCCCCAACTGAAAACTCCTTCCATGTGCCTGTTTTACAGCGGTGGTGATAGGAACCAGACTGCACCACCTATTTACCATCCAAACTCACCAGAGAACCTACAGTTTATATGGAATGTTGATGATGTGAAAATGTCAAAAATCTGACATAATAAGTTTTCTTTGGGGACTCAACACACCCTGCATGTTATGTATCCCTCCACCATGAATGGAGTTTTAGGCAAAAATCTTGTCAAAACTACCATAAAACAGTGTCTCAGTCATCAGGCAGTGAATTCATAACCATTTCCTGTAGTAACTTTCTGTGAGGGAGCTTTTAGAGGTGGACGTCTGGTTCCTATCACCACCACTGTGAACAGTTCTGAACAACTCTGTTTACATCTTAACCATTTAATTATGCAGGAATTTTGACAAATCTGAACTCCAGTCCAACCAAATGAGAAACTGTGGCACAGTTTGTTTAGAATTTCTACGTAACACTGAGTTTAAAACGCTGTGCTACCCAGCTGGGCTCTTGCTGCCTTTAAGTTGTGTCTGAAATATCATATTTACGAGATGAGCGCGCATAAACGCCACCACAGTGTCGCATTCACTACCGGGAAAGTTGGATTTTTCGATGAGCCACTAGTTTCCGAGTTCGGGGGTGTCAGCAAAAAAAAAAAAAGAAGCGATAGAAGCTGCTGACAGTTGTGCTGTAAACTGGTTGTGGTTCAGCAGCCACACATGAACACTGCAGGCTAAATTCATCCACACACCAAAATACAAATATGAGCATGTTATGCGGTGCTTCTGACTGGATAAAACATTACTCATCACCATCCTCGGCTCTTCATACTGTCTGCAATAACGCAAAATGAACAGACTCTCTCTAATGACACAAAAACAAAAATGAATGGAATAACATGGGGCCTCATCCACCAACCGCTCTTTAGAAGAAATTCCTTCTTGAACCCACTGACGCAGTTCTGACGAAGACTCTGACTCACGAATGTTCTCTTTTGTGGGGTTTGTTCTTAGGTAAGAACAGAATCTACACACACTCAAGAGAACAAAGGTGAGAACAGTTCTGCGCTTTAAGAACACGACATGAATCTGATGCAGACTTTTTCTTAGGACCTTTCTCAAGAACACATTTGGGTCATTCTATAGAAACGTCCACTTTTCTGTCTGTCCATAGGAGTCACTGGTGTTACTGATCCTCATTGGTGTTCCACAAAATAAAGGAACACCAGAGACATTTTTAATGAACAATGCATTTTACTAAACAGCTGCTACAGAGCATCAAACCACATGTTGTCAATCATGGAATATCCACTAAAATATGGAATTTAATCTATTTGTATTCTATTTTTTCACAATTACCTCAGAATAAAGTCGGTCACACCAGTGACTTCAGCTAAAAGCTTCATATGAAATCATGAGCTAAATGAGAAAATCTCTGATAACTGAAAGACACAGTGGACTCACCATGTGCTTTTCTTCATAGACCCTCAGAAAACAGGTAAAAGGAAGTCAAATGATGTCATCAGTGTGACTTTTATTTCAAAATAAGAGTTTTTTTTATTACGCGGTAACACCAGTGACACGACTCCTGGGGAACTTTCATTATATATTCTATAATATTTATTTGACATTTGTTTTCTTTGTGTCATTTAAACCATGCATTTCATAGTCATGTATAGATTATTGCAGTTAAAATTGCAGAAAAACATGTTTTTTTTCTTCAAAATATGTCCTCAGCCTTCACACACGACTGTGAGGACGAGCTCTTCTGTGGTGCTCTGAATTCTAGATGATTGATTCAAAAACCAATATTGCTAAATTGAGGCTGAAGAAGGTGTAATTGATAAAATAACTTATTGTTTTATTTTAAAATATAAATAAATTCTAACATATCTGTAAACGCTAGGGACACAAAAATGGACGTTTCTGTAGAATGACCCATTTAAGAACAGACTTAGGAAGATGCTGAATGAGGAAAAGTGTTGTGTCCATCTTGTTGATGACTTAAACCACTTCAACACAAGTTGAGTCATACTTATGACCTCCGACGTCGTAAGTAGGAACTACCGAGGAGGTCCTGCAGGCAGCATGTCGCTAAGTTTGAATGGGAGTTTATAGAACTACAATTTTTTCCAAGTAATTTTGGAGCTTTTTTATTGGTCCATACAGCATGAAATGTTAGCATGTTGTAAAGGGCAGGTTTTCAAATTCTGTAAGTAGAAACGACATAAATGGAGATGCGAGGTTTTGTTCCGACAGCTGCTTTATGGTGTTGTAGCTGAAGTTAATCAAAGCCAGGCTTGTTGGAAACAACAGTAGCTCAACATTGACTCGATTTCCCTCTACATTTCAGTATTTTGACTCGTCACAGTCTCTGATTGGGTCGGGATTTTTGTCAGTGTTCTGTAAAGTTTGTCCAACCTCACAACAGTTGCTATGAAGGGATGCATTTGTGGGCGGAGCATAGATAGGTCAATTATTTTTATTTTCTAATTAATTAATTTGCACACAGTAACAGTAATAGACACATCACTCATTGCACTGTAATGAGTTTGACTCAAAGCAAATATTAAGCCTCAATAAGCAATAATCAGTTATTCACACAGCGACCCTTTTGTTCAGCATGCTCAGTTTGAACTGAACGGCTTTCAAAACTGACAAGGGACAAATTTTTGCTAATTACTGATTGACTAATGACCCTCTTCATACTCTGTATGTGATATTAAAAGCAAAAAGTGTCAATGAGTGATTTAATGGCATATTTCTAATGTGAATTGATCCACAAATTGAATTATTATATGAATTTTTCTGACTGACTGGCATGGATATCATCGCCACGGCCATATTTTTACTTAAACCTCACAAGTAAACACAACTTCACTCTATTTTCCTGATTTGTCTGCTCTGAGAGGGTGAACTGTATGAAAATTAAATGTTTTTATTTTATGAATGAGGAAACTCTTACATGCAGCACTGGGTCAGCGGTGCCAGAATGGACATCTCATCGTGGGAATGCCGTCCAAACCTGCGACACAAACATATGCAAGCTTGTCTAAGAACTCTATTAGAGGCTTTAAGACAGACTTGGCTAAATGTTGGCTAAGAGCACAAACCCTCTGGCGTTGTCCAGGTGAAGCAGAAAGCCTTCGTCACCAAACTTGGTAAAGATTTCGTAGTGGTGTCGATCCATGTTCCCTTAAAAAAGCACAAAAACATCACAAACATCTGCTCCACTGTCTTTTTCAGCAGGTGTATGTTAGCTAACTGGCTAGGTAGGCTAACTGTGTCATTCTACAGAAATGTCCATTTTTGTGTCCCTAGTGTTTACAGATACATTACACTTAAAAACATGTTAGGGTTACAATTTATTTAGATTTTAACATAAGTTGTTTAACAGTTACACCTTCGTGAGCCTCAATTCAGCAATATTGGTCATTAAATCAATTATCTAGAATTTATTATTCAGACATTTTTGTGCAATTTTAACAACAATAATCTGTACATGACTATGAAATGTATGATTTAAATGACAAAGAAATATTGTAGAATATATAATGAAAGTTTTTGTCTCCGGGAGTCGTGTCACTGGTGTTACTGCGTAACAAAAAATCTCTTATTTTGAAATAAAAGTCACACTGATGACATCACTCGACTTCCTTTTCCCTGTTTTCTGAGGATCTATGAAGAAAAGCACATGGTGAGTCCACTGTGTTTTTCAGTTATCAGAGATTTTCTTATTTAGCTCATGATTTCATATGAAGCTTTTAGCTGAAGTCACTGGTGTGACCGACTTTATTCTGAGGTAATTGTGAAAAAATAGAAATAGAATAGATACAAATGGATTAAATTCCATATTTTAGTGGATTTTCCATGATTGACAACATGTGATTTGATGTTCTGTAGCAGCCGTTCTGTAAAATGCATTTTCCATTAAAATGTCTCTGGTGTTTCCTTTATTATGTGGAACACCAGTGAGGATCAGTAACACCAGTGACTCCTATGGGGACGTTTCTGTAGAATGACCTGTATATTCATATTGCAGCTCCTTAACAACCTTGCAATTCAGATGATGCAGTGAAAAATGTACTCAGTGTGAATGTGTATCCACCACAGGGTGGCGTTTTCCAAAAATCCCATTAATTTTCCCCGTAGGGAAATAATATGGAAATGACGCACGTCTGTCACGTACCTGTGAGGAAGTCAAATATGGTCATGTCAATGATGTTGAGCAGTCGGTTTCCAGAGCTGTAAGGGTAGAGCCCCTTGATCGTGTCGCAGTATGCTGGATTGACCTCCCACCTACAATAATGAGCGGACGTTAGACGGAGTTCCCTCTGATAGAGCCAGAGTTATTGACATCTGCTTCATATCTGATGTAAACAAATATTAAAATAACCAACTAGTACAGTTCTTGTTCATTTGAACAGAGGGCTGTAAATTTGTGGACCTGCTGAAGACAAACTCAATACAAATCAGTCTGTGGAGACGTTTAATCAGTGACTGCAACAATGACTTTCTGTGTTTTTTAAACAGAGTTCAAATATGTTATCATGGCTAATAATTACAGGGGAACTTTTCAGAATTTCTGCATAGTTAAATAATTAAAATGTCATGTTTGGAGTGGTTTGAGTCAGTATTGTTCACAGTGGTGGTGATAGGAACCAGACGTCCACCTCTAAAAGTTCCCTCACAGAAAGTTACTACATGAAATCGTTTTCTGATAGTCAATCATCACTCTCAGAAATAAAGGTACTAGACTGTCTCTGGGTCAGTGCCCCTCTCGCCACTGGGGTGGAACCCTCAAGGGTCCATCTCAGTACCTTTAGTCAGGGAACATAACTGAACCATAATCCACTGAAATGATATGTTCTAAGCTGTACTGACTCCACACACCCCGTCTCGTCTCCAGGCTTTAATTTTACTGTTCTGTTTAAAACATTCGGTTATGAAAAGGTACAAATACGAACTTTTCACCTGGAAAAACTGATTTAAGGTTCACAATCAGACCTTAAAACCACTGTTGGAGCTTTGAGGGAACATTTACACTGTTTGTACCTTGATGAACGAAAAATGTACCTGAACAGAACCTTTAGTAGTGCATTGTGAGGTGAAACACTCCCCCAGAGACCTTCATTTCAGATTATCCACTATTTTCTCAGAAGACTCGTGTAGGTTCACTGGTGGTTCTGGATAGTAAATAAAATGTCTGTATTTGTGTTGTAGTCATGGCGACCCCTGGTTCCTATCACCACCACTCTGAATATACCACAATTTTTAAAGAATGGTGGAATTCCCCTTTAATACAAGCCAGAATGCCTCCTAGCCTGTTTGTACAGCTCCTTTAAGCTGTGTGTGCTGAGCGTACTCCTCTCTGCCGGTGAAGGTGTAGGAGCGGATCCAGGGGTTGGGGATGGAGATGCGGGGGGCGATGCTCAGGCCGGGCAGGTACGCAGACATGGACCCCTCCAGCAGGTCTGGGTGCCCACACACTGCGTACTCCGTCTTACACACGTACAGACACTTGGCGAAGAAGCAGGTGTTGTTCGCTGAGAAAGAGAGTAAAGAGGACAAACATATCATTTATACAGTTTTATATGTTCCACAAACACTGAGTTACCAGTTTATTAGGTGCACCTCCCTTGTAGCGACACTTACTGCCTGTTTCTACACAAACACCAACCATACAGTTAAAGACTGTGGCTCATCTGTTGCTGTACAGTTTATCAGCCCATCTCCACTTCATTCAGGACCGTTTAAGGAGTGCTAGGTTGAGAGTGAACCATCACCCAAATAATAGTGTATATTTCTAGCATAATTACGTGGTTAAGAAGGTCATTCAGAGTGGTTTTGTGTGAAACGCTCTGTTCTGAAACGTACTGAGTCAGAACTGTTCACAGTGGTGGTGATAGGAACCAGATGTCCACCTCTAAAAGCTCCCTCACAGAAAGTTACTACAGGAAATGGTTATGAATTCACTGCCTGATGACTGAGACCCTGTTTTATGATAGTTTTGAGAACTTAAACTCCATTCATTATTCCCGAAGAAAACTTATTATTTCCATATATTTTCCATCATCAACATTCCATATAAAAGCTCAGAAGACTTGGTGGTTCTGGATAGTAAATAAAATATACTATATTGGTGTTGTAGTCAAGTGTTGTAGTGAGTCTCTGCAATCAACCATTTCACATCACCTGTCTCAACCAGTGCATAAAATCTGAAAAATTGGTGGAATTCCCCTTTAGGATCCTTCTCCACAGCACTGGCTTAGCTAAAAAGTTTAAGGATGGTAATTGCTCTATGTGTTTGGAGATGCATACAGCGATAAGCCTGGTGTTTGTGCGTGAATGTGAGCGCTTGCCTGGCGAGGTGAAGAAGACACTGCGGAGATCATCGCTGTGAGTGGTGTACAAGATCTCTCCTGTCACATTAATGAGTCTCCCCACCACAGGAGGAACTCTCCGGAAGTCCAGCACTCTGAGAGGATGAACAAAGAAACAAAACAAGAGATGACATAACAGAAAAGTTTGTCCTGCTTTGACCTCTGGGCAGATCTGAGCGGTGTCTTCATCTCCTGAGTGGTCTTTGGAGACGTGTCCTGGCCCTGACTCACCGTAAACTGTTATTTCTATTTTAAATGGCAGTTACACCCAGGACTGATTAAAGGGCCCATATCATAGAACTGACCCCTTTTTCATGGCCTTTGATGTTGTATGTAAATAAATTTTTAATTGTTTATTGTCAAGACCCATAAGCCTCAACATAAAGCACACGTCCGATACTATTAAAGGGACCATATAATGGAAAATTAAAATTTTGAGTAACACTTTCTATGAATGTCATGTTTGTAAGCATCTATAAACACATTAATAACATGTTATAATGCATTCACAAGGCATTATAAACATGTTTATAAATATTTATGAGAATGAATTACACTGAAATTACACTTTATGGCCATTTTTATTATACATTATGAACTGTTAATATAATGCATTATAAGTGGTGTTAATAACATGTTACACTGTCAGTGCCAAAGAAGTCAGTTCCAGCTTGGAGAGCGTAAAGTAAAGACAAATAGAAAGTTTATTTATAGGATTTCCAGCTGTCAGGGCTGCATCTTCAGGGCTTCAGTCCTGAATATTCAGATGCTCCAAACAGGCTGTCCAGCCTAGAATCACTGCTATAGTATGCTTTTCTTGCCCAGCGTCTCACTTTAAACACTACATTACATCACAGCAAACCATGTACCCATCAGCCCCTCCCCTGAGCCCCCTCTGACATCACACTGAGCGTCAAGTCACTGTGGAGTGAAGGCCTGGAGAGGGAGAGACGAGATAGTTGAGTGCTGTTATTGTCATTTGTTCCCTCGCTGGTTCTAATGTCAAGCTAGAACCCTTCACTCTGTAACATCACTACACTACAGTACAGTAATGCTAATTTCTGCTAGCATTCCATTGGCTATGCAGTGTTAAGTCAGTGCCAAGCTAACGGTGGTGTACATTGACTTTCCCACATTGGGTAAAACACTGATGGCAGCTCTAGTTTAAACTCTGACATTTGAAGCCTGTAATGTGCTTTACTGTGAATGTTTTAGTGTTTCAGTAAATCCTTCAGTAAATACTTCAACTTGAAGCCTCACTCTGAACACTGGAGGAGGCTTTAGTACAGTACGCTTCACTTTACTTAGAGCGGACAAATACCACTTATGAGCTCTTATAATTTGTTATGATCAGTACTTATAATGCATTATGTTAACAATTCATAATGCATTATAAGCATGCCTATAACGTGTAATGCATTTTTATAAATATTTATAGCCATGTTTATGATGCCTTATGAATGCATTACAACATGTTATGAATGTGTTTATAGATGCTTCCAAACATGACATTCATAGAAAGCATTACCAAGTTTTGAAATAAAAGAGTTGATGTTGAATGTAAACATTGTTTAAGTGTCAAAATGTGTCGTTCCGGGTCCATATGTGGAAACTACACTGCAAGAACAGTCCATTTTGATTGAACTGTTTTAGTGATGTCACAAAAACCAAAAAACAACATAAAATCCACCTATTTAGCCTACAGCAGTTTGGGTCCACCTTCTCACACTGAAGTTATAAGGAATGTATATTAAATATGTAGGATACTGGTCCCTTTAATTGTAATTCATTAGGCCAAAAGACTAGTGTTCTTTGTTGAGTTTAGTTGTAATTAAAAAAAATTCTTGTGTAACTATCAAATCGCACTGCTGTACTTTTTTTAATCTCAGATAATTAGTTGCTGTCAGAATGAAACCTTGTATCTCCATCTTTTGAAATAATTTGAAAATGCCTGTTGCTCTTTACATTGTGTGAAAATTTCATGATAAATGGACCAAAAGAAACAACCCAAAAAGAAGTCTGGTTCCATTGATTTACATTAAAAGTAGAGTAGGTTTTTTCATTCTCCTGTAAAGTTACCATTTTGGAGATGCGAGGTTGTTCAGACAGCACTGATATGCAAATGTGTTTTTTTTGTGACATCACAAAAGCAGTGAATTTCAAACACGTTCTGAAACTTCAATGACATTTGCATACTTTTATTTCATTTTGCTTGAAATAAAAACTTCATCTTCCATGATACAGGCCCTTTAAAACAAACTAGCGCTCTCTGAATGAGCAGCAGTTTCAAAAAGATGACGAAAAGTGTGACACGAAAACTTAAACTACAATAGACACTCTGATAATATGCCCCACATCATGTATTTTCCTCGAGGCTCCACTTTTAAGCTGACTGTGAGTGAGATACAGGCCGCAGGTGATCCTCCCTCCCCACCCCCCATAATTACTCACTTTCATAATGAAAGCTCTGTCTCAAGTCCAATCACGCCTCGTCTGCTTAGACTGTCTCACTGCAGTGGTGCAACTCTCGCACAATAAGCTGCTCTGAGATGGGCTTTAGTGGCAAGTCATAGTGAAGCTTTATGTCTCAACATGCTTAAGATATTGTGCAAATCATTTAGCGCTCAGTGTTTTCTCTCCGCAGAGCGTCGGGAACTATGATCTGTGTCTACCTGTAGCTTTAAAGGCGAGGCTAAGGTTGACTCCCTATCCGCCAGCTTCTCATTCGAACTATCCATTCCACCTTAAATAAAGTGGGTGATGCTAAGTCTGTGAACCCTGTGAACTTCTGCATAAGTCTGAAAATGTAAAATGACAATGACAATAGATAAAGAGGACCCAACAGCAAACAAATAAAGCAACCAATTAAATAACATTTCATAAATTTAAATGTTTTTTTGGCAAAAAGTACATGAACCTCCAGAAGGATTAGTTTAGTATAGAGGATAATTACAATTACAGCTAGTATTATAATTAAAGCCGTACTCTCCAGGAACATTGTTCTCTGTTTAAACCAATGAGGCAAAAACAGAATTTATCACTTAAATGAGACACATTATGCTGGCGAGAAATTAATATTGCATTCCAGCAATGAGAACATCATCCCGACTGTGAAACATGGTGGTGGTAGTATCATGCTGTGGGGCTGTTTTGCTGGCATTGGTCCAGGACAGCTTGCCAGCATTTGATCTTACTATGAATTCTGGATTGTATTAGGAAATTAGGACAACATCAGGGCCTGAAGGTCTACAGATGGAGGCTCTTGCTGGAAGAAAACAACCGTAAACACATACGTAACTTAGTCTTAATTATTGCCAGGATTTTACAGCAGTTAACATGGTATTCAACATTTTATTGTGGAAGTCATTTTATGACATATTCTATTATATAATTACGGCAAGGTTAATGGTGAGCTACACTGCACACCATTATGGGACATGATGGGCAAATGAGTTAAAAGGGTGTAAACATTATTTTAATTACGTTTTTTGGTGTTTTAAACACTTGTAAATGATCTTTTTTCTTGATTGTTTAAATGTTGGAACACTGAGCTGTTGACAAAATGTTACTGTTTTTTGGTATTGTGCACATTATAAACAGAATTTAAATGCCTGTTAAATGCATGTTTGAGAAAGTTTGTGCATGAAACTGAGTTCACTGGTGGTTTTGGACAGTAAACTACTGAATGACTTTATTTATGTCCCAATGATTGAATTATCCAGAAATCTTGAGAAACCAGAGGAAATTCCCCTTTGAATGCTTTGGACATCTGGTTCCTATCACCACCACTGTGAACAATTCTGAGTCAGTAAGTTTCTCTAGAACAGAGCGTTTCACACCAAACCGCTCTGAACGACTCTGTTTATATTTTAACCATTTAATTATGTAGGAATTTTGAAGAGATCGAAAGGTCAGTTTAAGTTTGGATCACTTTGTTCAACAAAAGAGTGAAAAACTAAGTAATTGTTTTGTGTTATTTATTTTATTGAGGTCTCTTCATTTATAGATATAACTTGTTTGGGTCACTTTAGGTCACATATATTTAGAATTCAGGGTTCACAAACATTTTAGCACTAATGTAACTACAGCACTATTTAAGGTGGAATGGAAAAGGCTAATAAGATGCTGGCGAATAAGAAACTAACTTCAGCTCTGAGCTTCAGCGAGTGTTTGTTTTCCACAGTGGGAGATCAAAACAGGAGTGTGGGTGGTCTGGCGTTTGTGCAGCTCATGGTTCTATGTTTATCGCACACCTTTAGGAGGATCTCCTGCGTAGACTACACAGCGAGAGGGAAAAACATTCATTATAGGGGAGGTTCTTTTGTATAACTGCTCATTTCAGAGACTGCTGCCAGCATCTGACGGTTCAGCCTCCAACTTCTACAGGTCTATCTTAAAACAACATGCTGTAAATTAGGCTCCTGTTTCAGCTGCTCATTCTGCCCTGGGTGAGAAATGCTCCCTGGAATTAGCTTGGAAAAAACAGACTGGCCTCTGGGGAATGTTGGAGGAAAAGTCACTTTGCGATGTTTTATCTATTTTTGCAGTAAATATTGTGATATTTAAAAAGCAATATACAAACCTCACTTCCAAAAAAACTATATGAAATGCAATTTAAAACCAGAAAGCAGTGACATGCAAATCCATTTTGACCTGCATTTAAATGAAAAGAGTACAAAAGCATTCTGGATATGTAATGTTTTATCTTATCAACTTCATTGTGTTTTTATAACTATATGCTCATTCTGAAGGTGATGACCGCAACATCAAAAAAAGGTGGCATGGGAACAATTTAAGACTAGAAACGTTGTAAAATGTTCAAAAAACACCTTAAACTGGTGATCAAAGCAATCATGCTTGGATATAAAATGAGCACCCAGGAAAGGCTGACTGGTTTATAAGTGAGGACCGGTCAAAGCTCACCATTTAACCTAATAACAATTACCAACAGTTTAGGAACAACGTTCCACAAAGCGATTGAAAGGATTTTAAGTATTTCACCCTCTACATTGCAGAATATCATTAAAAGATTCAAAGAATCCAGAGAATGACCGTTGACCCCTCAGATGGCACTGCATCAAAAACTGGCACGCTTCTGTGATGGATTTCGTTGCATGGACTCAGGAATGCTTTGACAAACCGTTGTCAACAAACACTGTTCATCGCTGCATCCTCAAATGAAAGTTAAAACTGTACTAAGCACAGCACAAGCCATATATCGACAACCTCCAAAAAAACGCCGCCGACTTCTCTGGGCTCAAGCTCATCTGAAATGGAGTGATACTCAGTGGAAACGTGTATTGTGGTCTGAAAAGTCGACCTTTCGGATTGTTTATGGAAATAATGGACTTTGTGTTCTCCAGGCCAAATAAGAAAAGGACCATCCAGATTGTTGAGTTCAAAATCTAGCATCTATCATGATGTGGGGGGTATTAGTGGGCAACCTGCACATCTGAGAAAGCAACATTAACACTGGAAGATATCTACATGTTTCAGAGCAACATATGCTGCCTACGATTGCCTTGCAGTATAGTGAGAATACACAAGTGAGCCCTTGAGACTGACCTGCACTGTTTTTACTAAAGTCAGTTGTTTGTTTGATTGAATGTCTTGAATGTCTTGATTTCTCCAATACAAATGTGGTTGGTCAGGACACCCACAGCACACAACAAAACAGTCAGTGATTGCTTAAAGTCTCATCTGCATATTGAACTTCAGTGGGATAAGTATTGGGAAGGCAGACATAGGGAACGATATACTGTACAGCCCTAAAAATATTCAAAAAAGATTCAGGTTCATTTATTCTAAGTAATTTTGGAGCATTTCTGTCGGTCTATTCATCATGAAACGTTGAAATGGCAGCTGAAATTTTCAAATTATGCAAACGTTATAATCGAAGATGCGGCAGCAACGATATTCACAGTCATAATGAGAAAATGAACACTGAACCTGTCCAGATGGAAAGATGCAATCTCAGCATTGTGTCTCTGGAAGTCAACGAAATAAAAGAAGTCCTCAGGTGTCTCCTCGTGTCGCTCCTGTCTGAAAAACCAGACACAATCATTTTGGGCGTGCCCTCAAACACCAACTGATGATCCACTAAGTAGTATTGTTGTAGTTATAGTTATAGTCATTGTTATAGCTTACCTCATAGGCTTAAACATAGCTTTCCCAAAGTCTTGCAACTTCAGTGCCAGCTTCAGGTGATGACCACTCGGCTTGACCACTGAGGAAAAAGGATTTTTCGTGTCCGTTGTCATTCACTGGTGTCTGTTTTTCATGTTTACAGTGCTAGAGACCAACCTTTATTTATTAAACTCAATATAACTTAATAGAACATGAATCAGCTGCACATGATCCTAAGGTCTCCATGTCCAAAGCCAAGCATGGGCTAGATATAGGGTATAAAGCCCCCCAGCACTGGGCTGTGGAGCAGTGGAACTGTGTTCTCTGGAGTGATGGAGCTCCATCCAATACCTTTGGAATGAGTTGGAGTGACCCAGAACTGACCATCCAACATCAGTACCTGACCTCACTAATGCTCAATCAAATCCTCACAGCAATGTTCAACATCTAGAGCCTTCCCAGAAGAGTAGAGGCTGTTACTGCAGCACAGACTCACTACTAACACCTTCATTTCAGAAGAAGCTCTGGATGTGCAGCGTCTCTTATGTGCCTGTGCTGGGATCACGTGTGAGAGCGTCAGGGGTTTAAACTGCTCTGTTTTGGACTGAGTGCAGGTTCTTGGCAGCGATAGCTTAATTATAGATGGTGTGTTTAAAACTGGTGCTTGGTGTGCCCTGTGCTCAATTGGTGGTTTCTTTTTCTTTGTCTGAGGTTGTGGCATACCATGGAAAGCTGCCTCCAACCCTAAACCACAACGTGGGAGCCTTCTTTTAGCATCTCTCAGACCCGTTTTAATAGTTTGTTTCCAAGCTTCAAAACAGGTGACTCACGAATCGGCGCGAAAGTCACGCACATTCAAGCGCAGCAGCAGAACGTCGCAGCTGCAAAGAGGAGAGTTTAAACACATACAGCACCTCGGATGAAGAAGCTAACGAGCTAAAGCTAGTCAGAATACGTTAAGACCAATTATGCAATGCTAACTAGTGTGTGTTAACTTTAATTCATTCTTAGCCACATAAGCATGAAATATTCCCTTCTTTTTCTTCTTTTACTCTCGAGCTCCACTTATAACATTCATAACATTTGTGTGGGTTTGTGAACCAAAACAGCCTGTTTTGCTTCTACTGAACTGGGTCAAAGTCAGAGCTGAAACATATTCAGGACTTTTAACTGATCTTGGACTTCAGACTAAAATCCTTTTGCTTTGAGTGACTCTAAACCCTTAATTATGTTTATTTTATTACAACTACTGACTGAACATTCAACTCTGTCACTGTTTCAGTGACAATTTTAGCTCATTTTGAGCTGAGAAACTCAGCCAGTACAGACCAGCAAACACAGCTTTGAACAGCTGTTCACACAGAAAATCATCATATTTTACATTAAAACACTACAAAAGTGCTGAACTGCAGAAAATATGACGATTTCCTAATGTTCCACACTGATTTTCAGACTTTGGGACACATTTACTTCAAAACAATGGGATCTAACTGCTCACCATGTGGCCATGAGGGACAGGGATGCAGCCTCACTTCCTACAGACTAAAGCTCTGTGTTTCGATATTTCATTGTTTTTTAAAATGATTTTACTGTGAAAGCACACATACACACCCATCAGGCATAACATCTGACCTTTTTCTACACTCATTGTCCATTTTATCAGCTCCACTTACTATATAGGTGCACTTTGTAGTTCTACAGTTACAGACTGTAGTCCATCTGTTTCTCTGATACTTTGTTAGCCCCCTTTTACCCTGCTCTTCAGTGGTCAGGACCCCCATGGACCCTCACAGAGCAGGTACTGTGTCTGATCCACTCAGACCAGCGCAACACACACTAACACACCACCACCACATCAGTGTTACTGCAGTGCTGAGCAAAAATTCCCACAGACTCTCTCCAACATCTTGTAGAAGCTTCCCAGAAGAGTGGAAGCTGTTAGAGCTGCAAAGGGGGACCAACTCCATATTAATGCCAATGGATTTAGAATGGGATAGGCTCCAGCTCCCCCCATGACCCAGAAGGATAAGCGGCTTAGAAGATGTGTGTGTGCGTGTGTGTGTGTGTGTGTGTGTGTGTGTGTGTGTGTGTTCGCTCAACGTCCATTAATTACTAGTTTTACTGATTGATATCTGTCAGCACTAAAATATTTAGTTGAGCTAACATAAGAATATTTGTTGTATTAGGTACAACTAGTCTCAAGCAAAGCAGAGAACAAGCACAACACAGGTGAACATAGCTGATCAATCAATAATCTGCCACCGTTCTAAGAAAGTAATATGTATTATCATATATTAAGCCACTACATACTGTATCATGTCTTGAAAAGTTACCTGTTTCACAGGTAAGCATAAATGAATTGATTACACCACAAATCTTTTAGAAACAATTGCATTAACTGCCTAAACAAAGTATGCAAATCTTGCACACAATTCAGACAAATTGAGTGGAATAGCAGGTACTTATTTAAATAAACAGTTACAACGGGGTTTTTCTAAAAAAATACCAATTAAATTACACCACTATGTATACACTTCCTGGCCACTTTATTAGGTAAAGCTGCCCTATATTTACATACTTTTTCTATATTCATAAAAGCTCCTGTAGGTGTGATGTGTAGGTGTCCCAATACTTTTGTCCATACAGTGTATATATTTCGGACTGTATGGATTGAGGAGTGAATGGCAGAACTCCATGTACCCTGAATCCAGAGCTAAATAACTCTTTTACAGGCATGTGTTTGCAGCCATACGGTTTCTGTGGCTCAGTTCAGTAGCTGCTATAATACAGTGCAGTGCCATAATATCAGTCTCCACAAACCCAGCGGCGAGATTCTCACCACCGCCACTGAAAACAAAAATAGTGCTTTTTATTTATTTTTTCTTTTGGCCAACCTTCAGGCAACAAAGTCTTAATCTGAAAGGGTAATTCCACCCATTTTTTCAAATTCCTGTATTATTCAGTTACTACAAAGTCACTCACAGTAGTTTGATGTGTGGGTCGCCATGACTACAACACAAATATAGCCATTTTATTTACTATCCAGAACCACCAGTGAACCTACACGAGTCTTCTGAGTTTATATGGAATGTTGATGATGGAAAACAGTGGAAAATCTGAAATAATAAGTTTTCTTTGGGGACTATTTTGCCTCACAGCACCCTGCATATTATGTATCCCTCCACCATGGATGGAGTTTAAGGCCAAAATCTACTCAAAACTATCATAAAACAGTGTCTCAGTCATCAGGCAGTGAATTCATAACCATTTTATGTAGTAACTTTCTGTGAGGGAGCTTTTAGAGGTGGACGTCTGGTTCCTATCACCACCACTGTGAACAATTCTGACTCTGTAAGTTTCTCTAGAACAGAGCATTTCACACCAAACCACTCTGAATGACGCTGAATTTACATCTTAACCGTTTAATTAATTCAGGAATTTTGAAAATCAGTGGAGTTTCCCTTTAAGATTGGCAAATCAAATGGTAATTAACAGTATTTGGGGCAAATGTTTGTTTAGAGATGTAAAAAGGAGCTGAGGAGAGGTTTCTGCTGTGAAATAAAGAGTATTGAGTCAGAATAATAAAAGATGATGACGTACCCTGTGAGCAGTCGCAGGCTCCCTTTAAGGCCTTCTCGTCCTGAGTGTAATCTAAAAGAGATGAAGCCTGTCAGACTTTCGTTCCTCAGACACAGAATCCCTGAACTCATCAGTCTCATTCAGTCTCACGCCTCTGCCATCACCTGCTTAAAGCGCCTGCAGTCTGTCAGACGCTGCAGATCAGACACTGAGCCGAATACACACTTACAGCACTGTGCAGAAGTCAGAGACCCCCCACATTTATTTTATGAAACAGCCATTCAGTACAAATTATTCAGGAAACAAGGACAAAACATAGAATTAACTGACAATTACACAAAAGCCTCAACAGCTACATTAGATCATAATAGACTATAATAGCACAGCATTTCATTATAGATTAATAAATCAATAGACATGATAAGTTATTAGATAATAATAGATGCTAATAGCACAGAAAAGCACACTATTTGATTACAATAGATTTTTAGGTTGATACAGATTAAAGGCTATTGCATTATAATAGATTATAACAGCACAATATTTGATTATAGATTACTAGATGAAGAGACATAATAGGTTATTAGATTATAATAGATTATAAGAGCACACTATTTTATTATAATAGATTACTAGAATAATAGACATGATAGATTATTAGGTTTTAACAGATTAGAATAGCACAATATTTGACTATAGATTACCAAATTAACAGGCATGATAGATTAGTAGATTGTAATAGATTAAAAAATAGAACACTATTTGATTATAACAGAATATTAGATTGGTAGAAATTATAGGTTATTAGATTATAATAGATTATAATAGATTATAATAGCACACTATTTGATTATAGATTACTAGATTTATAGAAATGATAGATTATTAGATTATAATAGATTATAATAGCACAACATTTAATTATAATAGATTACTAGAATAATAGACCTGAACGATGATTAGATTCTAATAGATTACAAAGGACCCTATTTAATTCTAGACTCCTAGACTAATAGATGTGATAAATTATTAGATTATAATAGATTATAATAGCACAATATTTTACTACAGATTACTAGATTAACAGGTATGGTAGATTATTAGATTGTAATAGATTCAAAAATAGAACACTATTTGATTAAAATAGATTATTAGATTGATAGAAATTATAGGTTATTAGATTATAATAGATTATAATAGAACACTATTTGATTATAGATTACCAGATTGATAGAAATGATAGATTATTAGATTATAACAGATTATAATAACACACTATTTAATGATAATCGATTACTAGAATAATAGACCTGATAGATTATTAGATTATAATAGATTATTATAGAACACTCTTGAATTACATTTTACTAGAGTAATAGACCTGATAGATTATTAGACTACAATAGATTATAAAGAACCCTATTTGATTCTAGACCCCTAGGCTCATAGACATGATAGATTATTAGGTTTTAACAGATTATAATAGCACAATGTTTGACTATAGATTACCAGATTAACAGGCATGGTAGATTATTAGATTGTATCAGATTAAAAAATAGAACAATATTTGATTATAAAAGATTATTAGATTGATAGAGATTATAGGTTATTAGATTATAATTGCACATTATTTGATTATAATAGATTACTAGAATAATAGACCTGATAGATTATTAGATTATAGTAGATAATAATTGCACACTACTGAATTACATGTTACTAGAGTAATAGACCTGATAAATTATTAGATTCTAATAGATTATAAAGGACCCTATTTGATTCTAGACTAATCGACATGATAGATTATTAGATTATAACAGATTATAATAGCACACTATTTGCTCATAATGGATTATGAAATGAATAGACATAATAGGTTATTAGATGATAACAGATTCTAACAGAACGCTGTTTCACTATAATAGATTACTAGATTAAGAGACATGAGAGATTATTAGATTATATTAGATTATAATAGCACACTATTGTGTTATGATTGTTATTGTTACAGTATCTATATTTGTATTTCCAGCATGTTTATGAATGAAGGGCTGTTCCAGGTAAACAGTCACCTGCACTGATGATGTTTGCGCTCTGCATGTCATGCAGTAGCCTGTCGATGCTGCGGTCATCTCTGGAGTACAGGGCGTAGCGGTTAATACCCAAGTGGAATTTCAGCCAGCTAGCATTAGGGTCAAAGGTCACAGGTTGCTCGGGAATGGAGATGTTGGACGCTGCGGCGGCTTCGACATACAACTTCTGCTGCCTGTGAAGGAGGTCATGAACTTTAACAGCCAATACATGATTCGGGTATTATGCATTGTTACATACAGTATCTGTCCAAAAGTATCCAGACAGTCCTGATAAGTGAATTCAGCTGTTTTAAGGTCAACCACTGCTGACACAGCTTGTATAATCTCCATAGAAGAGCACTGACCAATAGAATGGGACACTCTGGAGCAGCTGCACATGAGCCTATGGTCTCAATGTGCCCAGTGCCTAGAGGGGTATAAAGCCCCCCAGCACTGGGCTGTGGAGCAATGGAACTGTGTTCTCTGGAGTGATGGAGCTCCATCCAATACCTTTGGGATGAGTTGGACTGACCCAGAACCGACCATCCAACATCAGCACCTGACCTCACTAATGCTCAGTCAAGTCCTCACAGCACGTTCAACATCTAGAGCCTTCCCAGAAGAGTAGAGGCTGTTACCGCAGCACAGACTCACTATTAACACCTTCATTACAGAAGAAAAGGAGTTGGTGAAAATTGCAGCAGCTGCTGGAGAAGTTCTGAGTAGATTGCCTGGTGCTTTAGTGTGAACAAGTCTTCACAGGCAGAATGATCTGAAGTGTTAATATTCTCAATTCCAGCTGTCTTGAGACTAAAGTGTTGGTACACTCATATTCTAAGGCCTCTGGGAATTTGAGGTCAATATACATACTTTATTTTAAAGCATCCACAGTCTACATTTTTTTTTTTTTTCCTCTCTGAGATCCACTTATAAAGTTTTTATGGCTTTAATCCTCTGGGGTCCATGAACTCACTCACGCATCAAATCCTCTGTTTCTATATCTGTGTCTGTATCTTTGTGATGATCCAGCACAGAAATCCAGTTCAAACACTTCCTGAATCTGTAGAGTCGCCCTTTCCATTCCATCTTATCACAAGATCATATGAGACTCACATCCAGAGTTATGAGCCTATGAAGAGGGGCTGAGATACACGTCATCTGCCTCTCACCGTGTGGAACTGGTGGATTGGTGTGTCCATCTACATTCTGTGTGGAACTGACCAATGGACACTCAGGAAATCACTAAGGACTGACCATCACGCCGGAAACCCTTCATTCAGTCCACATCGGAGACTCATGTGAAACGGCGTGCAGAGAGTTTACAGCTGCTGAAGCTGCTGCAGCGGTTTTGGAAAGTAGTGATGAAGATAACGGAGCATTTAGATATGAAACATATGAGGATCATGTTTATATGAAGAGCCTTTAAAGGCCCAATACAGAATACACAACAAATAACACATTAAACTCTAGTTTTAGGCCAGAATGCCCAAAACATCAGCATAACAATATACAAAACAGGCCTTGTGATTAGAATAAATGAGCCACATCTCTTTTAACTTATGCTCTTTTTTATCTTTCACTCTTTTGGATATTTGTAGATGTGTAAATCGTAAAGTTGAGCTGCTTCCTGGCGAACTTTGCACTATCATATCACAGTATTGATCCATCAGGCCGCAAATATTTGCTAGTCGACCTCAAAAGCTGTCAGCGTGACCTCCGCAAACCAGTGCCTCTGTTTGTGCTGCAGAAAGCCAAAAATCTAGGAAAATAGAAGCAGTGCTGCTGTCTCCCACACGAGCCAGTCCACAAAACCACCTCCTAAAAGCCTGAATGTTCTTTAATCAGTTGCTTATCAAGCTTATTTTAAGCAGCGAGACGTACAGTCCCTCTGGGGTAAAACTCGGATTTGCTGAAGTGGGAAAAGAACTCCTGGTGGAACGCTAACATTATATCTATATGTATATATATACACCGATCAGGCATAACATTCTGACCACCTCCTTGTTTCTACACTCATTGTCCATTTTATCAGCTCCACTTACTATATAGGTGCACTTTGTAGTTCTACAGTTACAGACTGTAGTCCATCTGTTTCTCTGATACTTTGTTAGCCCCCTTTTACCCTGTTCTTCAGTGGTCAGGACCCCCATGGACCCTCACAGAGCAGGTACTATTTGGGTGGTGGGTCATTCTCAGCACTGCAGTAACACCGATGTGGTGGTGGTGTGTTAGTGTGTGTTGTGCTGGTCTGAGCGGATCAGACACAGCAGTGCTGCTGGAGTTTTAAACACCTCAGTGTCACTGCTGGACTGAGAATAGTCCATCAACCAAAAATATCCAGCCAACAGCGTCCTGTGGGCAGCATCTTGTGACCACTGATGAAGGACTAGAGGATGACCAACACAAACTGTGCAGCAGCAGATGAGCTATCGTCTCTGACTTTACATCTACGAGGTGGGCCAACAAGGTAGGAGTGTTTAATAGACTGGACAGTGAGTGGACACAGTGTTTAAAAACTCCAGCAGCACTGCTGTGTCTGATCCACTCGTAGCAGCACAACACACACTAACAGTGTTACTGCAGTGCTGAGAATGATCCACCACCCAAATAGTACCTGCTCTGTGAGGGTCCATGGGGGTCCTGACCACTGAAGAACAGGGTAAAAGGGGGCTAACAAAGTATCAGAGAAACAGATGGACTACAGTCTGTAACTGTAGAACTACAAAGTGCACCTATATAGTAAGTGGAGCTGATAAAATGGACAATGAGCGCAGAAACAAGGAGGTGGTCGTGATGTTATGCCTGATCGGTGTATATAAACCCACACATGTAAACCCAAGAACACACAGACAGACTAAACATGAACCACGTCTATGTTTTGGTTCAGTCAGCAGCTTCTCCTGAAGTAAAGCTTTTTGCTGATTGTACTTTGTTAGTGATGAGATGAGCCTGAACTTTAGCTAACATAGCAGACTTAGCTGGTGTTTATTTTTAGCCATTTTTAGCCATTTTCGATATAAAGCTTCCTTCAGTTTTCATTTTATCACTAACTGGCCAGTTTGGTTTCAAATAAGAGTAGAAAATAAGGAAAGTAAAAGTTTAAAATTCCAGAAAAGCTAATCTTAGCACAGCGGTTAGCTAGCATTTCTCTGCTGTTAGCCTTTCATTGCTCTTTCTTAAAGGTTAGCTGTTAGCTAGAGCATTGTTTGCTATTAGCAATGTTCAGAAATGAAATTTTAACTTTGCTATTAATTTGCATAAACATGACTAAGAACTTATATTTGGCCATGCAAATGAACAGTCTTTGTCAACAAACAAATGAACAAGCAAATAAAACTTTAAAAGCCTTTAAAACTCCAAAACATGAAAAACATGAATTGTTTTTATTAAAATGTTTCAGCTGTTGTCATATCTCATAATGTTATATGCTACAATGTCAACTCCACAGTAATTTGCTCTGTTATTACATAAAATATCTTTAGAAAAGCTGATTTCACAAAAAATGAACAGTATTTTCCTGTAAAAATAGTGTGAAATATTGTAAAATCCTGGCGATAATTTACAGTGTAGCATTTCTCCACTAAGTTAGCCTTTAGCTAGCTAGTAGCTGTTTTCAGAGATGAAGGAAGTGGCTGAATCTGCTGTCAGCTCTTCTTTTGCTGTGAGAATACAGTTTAAGGTGGGCTGGTCTGTGTCATGATTGGCCTGAGTGGACCGGGACATGGTGAGGTTTGTTTGTCCTGCACCGTCATATTGACGTCCTCGCTGCGCAGTGTACATAGTCGTATGTAAATAGTGGGCTGATTGATGACGGATTCCTAACGAGGTGATTATTGCCTTCCACAGCTGCCCCTCACAATCAGTGAAGCTGACCTCAGGGAAGCCACAGACCACACGCCGGAGAGAGGTTGCACAACACGACCCGAAATAGAGGTGGTCCGAGGTGGGCAAAGCTGACTCGACCTCATGATTTTAGACCTCTGATCCAGTCAGGACTGTTCCAGTCACAGCTGTACTCGGTCTCTTTCAGTGTTAAACTCTAAATTTTGCTAATAAAGAAACATTTTAATCACGTTTAAACACAGTTTTCCCACCTTAACAGAAATGCAGGTGATCAGACAAGACATGTTTAGTTTGCAGAGTTTGGGCAAAAGTACACTGAATATCTAAAACGGTTAATTGCTGAATTGTATCCGTACTTTAGTCCTTGTTTATAGATAACGGTGTCGTACAGCGTCAGAAACTGTGTAAATTTCACTTTTTCTTTTCTTTGCTTTGTGCAAAGTTAACTAAGATTCCCACACAGAAACGTAATATCCTAAAAATATATATTTTTCATTCTCAGAGGGGGAATTTCAAGGGCTTCTTACCCAAAGCCTAATGTTTCCTGTGAAAAGTACATCTGTCATGTTTTGTTACATTTTATTTAATAGAATCAGGCTTGAATTTAAACTCTGTAACACTGAAATTATGCTTTTATTTCTTTGTTAAGTTTCAGTTGAAAACAAAAGGATTAAAGTCTTCAAACACCTGAGGGAAAATGATCCAATCAGGATTGTAGTATCTGGGTAGATACAGCCAAGCTGCTCTCCCATTGGTCAGGACGTCAGGAGCTGGACTGAAGGCCTTACACTTTAGATTAACTACCAACATAATTAGGAAGTGACAGAATCAACCAATCACACTCTGATTTACACTGGGTGGAACCAATTCCGTGAGAAAAATGTCCTTCTGGAAGTTCTAGATACGTCACTGACTGTGAATATGAGCCGTAGTCTAAGCAGGTTCTGGTTAGTTGTTAGGAATGTAAAACAGTGGTGGCAGCTCTATGTCAGAACTCTTTACTGAAAGAGTCACTGTAACACTGATACACACAAGCTCAGATATACAATAATGTATGGCAGCTCTGTCTATCACTCTAGTCCTTCCGGAGGTTCTAGATACATCACTGACTGTGCATATGAGTCGTAGTCTAAGCAGTGTTCCGGTTAGTTGTTAGGAATGTAAAACAGCGACGGCAACTCTATCTATCACTCTAGTCCTTCTGGAGGTTCTAGATAGGTCACAGACTGTGAATTAGAGTCATAGTCTAAGCAGGTTCTGGTTAGTTGTTAGGAATGGAAAACAGCATGGCAGCTCTATCTATCACTCTAGTCCTTCTGGAGGTTCTAGATACATCACTGATTGTAAGTACGAGTTGTAGTCTAAGCAGTGTTCCGGTTAGTTGTTAGGAATGTAAAACAGAGGCAGCATCTCAATCTATCACTCTAGTCCTTCTGGAGGTTCTAGATACATCACTGATTGTAAATATGAGTTGTAGTCTAAGCAGTGTTCCAGTTAGTTGTTAGGAATGGAAAACAGCGGCAGACAGCTCTATCTATCACTCTAGTCCTTCTGGAGGTTCTAGATACGTCACTGATTGTAAATATGAGTTGTAGTCTAAGCAGTGTTCCAGTTAGTTGTTAGGAATGGAAAACAGCGGCGACAGCTCTATCTATCACTCTAGTCCTTCTAGAGGTTCTAGATACGTCACTGACTGTGAATACGAGACATAGTCTAAGCAGTGTTCTGGTTAGTTGTTAGGAATGTTCAACAGTGGCGACAGCTCTGTCTATCACTCTACTGATAGAGTCACTGTAAAACTGATACAAGCTCAGATATATGATAATGTCTGTTACAAGATTCAGATAAAACACACGGAATGACTTTTACAAGCTCCAAATGCCAGTGTTTAATCTAGAACAGGAAAAAAAACACTAATGTGAGTAGCCATTAGCTTAGATCTAGCATACTATCTGAATCCCATAGGGATGCTAACAGAAATTAGCATTATTGTAGAGCTGTTGTGTTTTTTTGTTAGAGTTTTGTCATTTATGGCCCAAATTGAACTCTAATAGTCATGGTTCGTCAATGCTAATCATATTATCCACTAAATATTAGCAGAGGCTCACTTTCCACCCTGCTGAAAAAAGAACATTAGAAACCTTTAACATTAAAACCTGATGGTTTTGCTTTCTAATGGGAATTGGCTTACCATTAGAGACCACTAGATTCCTGTAGAACACCTTTAGATACTGTTAGGAACCATCAAATCCATCTTTAATCAGTCCCAGAACACCTGTTGCAACTTTAGAGTCCTTCACACTGCGACACCAAACCATCAGAAAAACATATAATACCATTAGAGACTGTTGGACACCACCAGGAACCAGCAGAAACTTTAAATGGTTTCTATGTTTTTTTTTTTTTTGCTGTGCTGCTTTACGATAAGTACATTAATGTCTGTTACAACCTTCAAATAAACGTATTTCACAAGCTTCAAACGTCCATGTTTCATCTAGAACAAGCAAAAAGTGCTAATGCAAGTAGCTGTTAGCGTAGCGCTAACATACAACTAGAATCCCATAGGGACGCTAGCGGAAATTATGTGTTAGGCGTTTTTTCTTGTAGTTTTGTCATTTACGGCACAAACTGAATGCGAATAAGTCGCGTCTCACCACTGCTTATTATATTTTGGAGTGTCCTCACTACGTCGCTGCTGTCAGAACAAAACCTCGTATCTCCAAAATGGTAACTTTACAGGAGAAGGAAAAAAACTACTTTACTTTTAATGTAAATCAATGGAACCAGATGTTTTTCCAAGTCATTTTGTGTCATTTCTGTTTGTCCATTCACCATGAAATTTACAAACAATGTGAAGAGCAACAGGCATTTTCAAATTATGTCAAAAACTGAAAAACAATAAAAATGGAGATACAAGGTTTTGTTCCCTGATATTGCCTCACGATAAGGTAAACCTGCCTCTAACACTTATACTGTCTTTTCAGAAGGACGTATGTCTTTCCTGACATTCTGTGAGAGCTCAAGTCCAGGCTGTTGTCATTTAGCCTGCAGCCACAGTGGAAATGATCAAACCTCCCACGAAATGACTCTGACAGCCAGTGTGCAGATAGAAGGCACTGCCTCTGCTTTCTTGCCAGAAGGCACTGTAAATGCTAACATGCCATTCACGCTCTGTGCTGCCGTGTTATGTGCACATGCACAGTGGAGCGTCAGATCTCCTCAACCGCTGTGAATCATATCATGCCATGAAGGTCATTTACATATTCCTGATCCGAACCCCCTCAGGCTAAGATCTGGTCAAATCCTCTTACGGACTTTTTATCTTTATTCATAACGCAGCAAGGCTTGAAGAGCGACATCAGACTGGAGGAGCAGCTGTGAGATCTTTCTGTTTCTGCTGGAAAGGACACGCGAGAGCACTTTAGGAGAGGCAGTGGATTTTTTTTAGCTGCTGTTGATGACAGGATGAGCCTGACCCTCAGAGAGAGTCTCATTCATAACAGTGGTGACCACAATTAAAGGGGAATCATGCTGATTTTCCAAAAATTCTGCATAATGAAATGGTTGAGATGTAAGCAGAGTGGTTCAAAGTGGTTTGGTGTGAAACGCTATAGAGAAATGTGCTGAGTAAGAACTGTTCACAGTGGTGGTGATAGGAACCAGACGTCCACCTCTAAAAGCTCCCTCACAGAAAGTTCCTACATGGATAGTTTTTAGTTTAATTTATATTTTTTTACATCCCCAGTAAGATTTTTTATTTCAGATTTTCCACTATTTCCCATCATCAACATTCCATACACACTCAGAAGACTCGTGTAGGTTCACTGGTGGTTCTGGATAGTAAATAAAATGTCTATATTTGTGTTGTAGTCATGGTGACCCCTGGTTCCTATCACCACCACTGTAAAGAAAATGGATTCAAAACAGGCTGTATTTGCAGCTTAGTGTCCATATATGGACTGAGGAGTGGATGGCAGTAATACTTCAAACAATTTATTTAAATAATAATAAAAATTTAATAATAATAATTTTTATTTATATAGCACTTTTCATACCAGTGGCAGCTCAAAGTGTTTTACAGACAGGTGATAAAACACAGTTATACAAGAAATCATAAGTATTTATTTATTTAAAAAGAATTGAGGACTCCCAGCCCAAAAAAAGTTAATTAATTAATTCATTCATTCATTAGCTAATTATCAATATGTTGTTTGCGCTATTTTCACTGATACCGATAAAACTGTGGGTCCCTGATGTCAGCCAATATTATCGGACAACTGATATATCAGTTGTGCCCTACACACTTAGAAAAGATGGTTCTTTAAGGGTTCTTTAGTAAAGGCAATGGTAGTACCTAGAATCATAAGTTCTATACAGAATGATTTGCATGCTTTAATAGTTGTTTGCATGGTAAAGTTGTTCTTCACATTGATGGAAAGTGTGTTGTATAGGGATCTATATAGCACCAAAAAGGGGTAATATATAGAACCGTTTTCAAAAAAACATTCAACGTACTCTCCATCAATGTGAAGAACCATTTCACCATGCAGAGAACCATCATGCAAATGGTTCTGTATAGAACTTATGGTTCCAAATAGAACCGGTGCGCTCACTAAAGAACCCTTGAAGAACTGTATTTTTAACAGTGTAGTTGTGAGAGATATGTGGCACCAGCAGCTGCTCCTCATCAGTCCATCATACTTTTAAATACTGAGTGATTTGACTCTGTGATGAGTCACATTAATCGACCTGCACTGATTTCAAATCAATTTCGATTTGCTTTCAACAAAACATAATACGTGCTCACCTCTCCCAGCGGGTCACCTTCCTCCTGTAATACCCCATCAGCTCCTCCTCCTCCAGCAGCCTCTCGTCTGGAGCGAGCTCCGGCAGGCGGATGTTGTACAGAGGGTGGCTGAACAGCCTCTCCAGCTTGGACTCCTGTTCAGAGGTGGCGTTGTTGCCTGAGGTCCATTTTTGGAAAGTTTGTCCCCGATACTCGATGCTAACGTTCACCCCCTGGCAGGTGCAGCCATTCCTGGAGAGGTGATACCAGGCTCTCAGCCTGGGCAGCAGCACGAAATAGACATCAGCTGCCAGGACTGTGGTCAGAGTGACGGCCAGCAGGAACCGGTCCCGTCGCATGGCGGCCGACTGATTTGATTTAATCCCACTTACTACTGAATTGAGATGGTCTTAGAAGGTAGACCATCCACCATAGTGGGTTCCTCAGTCTGACCTGATTGCACTTGTTGCTGAGTTTAGAAGGTCCTAGAAGGTAAACTATCCAACTTGATGGGTTCTTCTGATGTGAAAATCTCAGACTGACCTGATTTGTTACTGCATTTAGATGCTCTTAGAAGATAGATCATCCACCACGATGGGTTCTTCTGGCAGTGAAAACCTCAGTCTGACCTGACTGCACTTGTTGCTGAATTTAGATGGTCTTAGAAGGTGGACCATCGATCATATTGAGTTCTTCTGGAGGTAAAAATCTCAGGCTGACCTGATTGCGCTTATTTTTTAGTTGGGAACCACACAGGAACAGAATGTTTCAGAAGGAAGGCCTTCCACCATGATGGGTTCTTCTGATGTGAAAATCTCAGACTGACCTGACTGCACTCGTTGTTGAGTTGAGATGGTGTTAGAAGGTGGATCATCCACTGCGCTGCGTTCTTCTGTGAGCAAAGACAATCTAGCATTTGTTATTCAGCTGAGATGTTCTTGGAAGGTAGATCATCCACCACGCTGGGTTCTTCTGGTGGTAAAAATCTCAGGCTGACCTGGCCGCACTTCTTACTGCCTTTAGATGGTCTTAGAAAGTAGATCGTCCACAATACTGGGTTCTTCAGGTGCTGAGACAATCTCAGGCTGATCTGTTTCCCACCTGTTACTGAATCAAGATGGTCTTAGAAGGTCCATCTGCCATGCTCGGTTCTTTTCCTTGACCAGATACGGTGAAATTCCTCCAGCTTGGAATGGACCAGGATTCCGGATGTCTCACACCAAAGCTCCAGGATGGTCTTCTGTTGGACTGCTGTACATTTGGACTGTGGTTGAGCAAGGCAGTGAGTGTCAGTGTGGCTCTCTCTCTCTCTCTAGAGCCACTGCTGAGGGCTGCTCTCCTGCTCTCTCCTGACTGACTCGCTTCTCTCGCTGCTGGGCGCTCCTCCAGCTGCACCTTCTCACTTCCCATGTAGGCGCAGCCTCTGGTCAAACACACGCAGTCACGGCGCGAGAGAGTGAGAGTGACAGAGAGACGGAGAGAGAGAGAAAGAGGGAGAGAGGGAGAGAGGGAGGACCCACAGTCTCTCGAGAGCCGGGCGCTCGTACCTTGTGTTTTCACTCATGAAAATGACAGGGAGAGCGGCGGCGTCTTTCCCTTGCTTTGAGCGCCGGCTGGAGAGGAGCAGCTGAAATTTGAATGTGGCATCGCTGCGGAATGCTGGAGAGCCGGATGGGAAATACAGAAGGCATTTCCCAGACTGCATCTGCACAGCTCCTGCTGTAATATTTTTCAACATCTGATATTTGTTTGCGTGTATGTGTGTGCTTGTTTTTGTACCTTTGCAGGACCAAAACTGGCCTGACTTTCTAGCAAAAGCAGAGAAGAACAGGACAACACAGCACTCACAGCACTGACTGTATAAACCCAACTCCATGTTTCTTTCTCTTTTAAACTTAAAGTAAATATGGGACATCATTATTATTACAGATAGGTACTTACATGTCTATTATGCATATGAGACATTACTATGGCATAGACATACTACAGCATATAGGTGCTTACATACTGCCTATGGGACATGTTATTATTACTTATAGATATCTACATTGGGACATATCACTACATATTGATACATATATGTAATATATCGCTGCTGTTGGAAGAAAACCTGGTATCGCCAGTTTTGGCGTTTTTAAGTTTTTGACATAATTTGAAAATGCTTGTTGTCCTTAACATTGTGTGTAAATTTCATGATGAATGGACTAAAAGAAACGACCCAAAATGACTTGGGAAAAATTCTGGTTCCATTGACTTACATTAAAAGTAAAGTATGTTTTTTCCTTCTCCTGTAAAGTTACCATTTTAGAGACACAAGGCATCAACCAACAACAGTGATATATATATATATATATATATATATATATATATATATATATATATATATATATATATATATTAATTAATTACATACAGGGACATAATAAACATAATACATGTCGGTAGACACACACACACAATATATATATATATATATATATATGAGGGTATCTACCTGTGTATATTATGTGTATCGCTGTTGTTGTAAGAAAACCTCGTATCTCCAAAATGGTAACTTTACAGAAGAAGAAAAAAACATACTTTACTTTTAATCTAAGTCAATGGAACCAGACTTCTTTCCAAGTCATTTTGGGTCGTTTCTTTTGGTCCATTCATCATGAAATTTACACACAATGTTAAGGACAACAAGCATTTTCAAATTATGATTATGATTGTATATAATATACATACGTTATTATTACAAGTACATTTACGAATATATATGCATATGTATGAATATATAACACATCGCATTACTACACATTTCATTTTATATATATAAATATATATATAAATCTATGACAATATGACATAATAATTAATGAATTAATATTAGTATATAGTAACAGTAATATCATATTAGTATAAAATAATATAATACATGCATAATAATATATTATTATATATAAGTATTTGTATATATGTAATACTTACAGGACATATTATTACTTACTTACATACATATGATTTAGAATGGACATATTGCATATAAATATTTAGACATAACATATACAACATGTATGGGACATTATTAATATTACACACAGGTACTTATGCAATGCATGTCGGACATATTATTATTACGTATAGGTAGTTGAGAACACTGCAGTGCTCCGAATCAATAACTTTCTGAGTCTGAGCGCCGTTTAAAGAGTTCAGAGAGTCATTTAAGGAGTTAAAAGAGAGTCATTTAAAGTTAGAGTTGTGTTGTTGTCGTTTGGAGGGAAAAATCACTGAGGAATGAAGGGAGAAGACGCAGCACCAACCCAATGCCATATTTAACCACTGCAAAATACAGCTCTTTTCCCCAAATACGAGAGAAAGAGTCAAATATGCTGCTCCACAAACACAATGCTATTTTCAAACTGCTTCGTTTCAGACAAATAACTCTGACGGTGGTTAAATCAAAAGAAATGCGTCCTCGTCAGGGAAACGCAGCATGGCCACTGCAGCTGTTCGTGTTGTTGATGTTTCCAGATGTGTAGCAGGAGATGTGTGTGTTTGGGTAACACCCTGTCTGTTACTACTATGCTGTGAACTCATCGCTGGCAGTTTTCCAGGGATTAAAAGCAGGCAGGGTAGGGTGGGGTGGGGGGTTAGGGTGGTCTGTGGGTGGAGTGGACTTCCTCTAAGAGAACCAATTTCTGGTCCATCTATGACATCTGCTAGCAAAAGCTTAGGCCGTCTGACAGCTCCAAGCCTTGATTGAGTACAAAATGGGCTCCGAGTGTTTTCTCTCTCCCTCTCTCTCTCTCTGTCAGTGATAGCATCAGAGCGAAGGCGCTTCAGTTCGCTCCTCACTCCGCTCTGTTTGTGCTCTTGGAGTATTTACAGAGCGCGAGGGCTCCAGTTTCCAGGATTTCTTCCAGCGCATAACAGCATGTCAGAAGTTGTCTTTCGGGAGGAATCTTGGAGAGAAAGCGAAAATAAACTTTTCCCACATTAAAAAACTTTAAAAACTCTGGCAAATATTTTGACATTTTTAACAGCTGCCAAAACTATCAACACTGACCGGTGCTGAACACCATGACCAAAACAATCCAGATCTTCTGGTTTTGTCAGATCCAAAACAGACTTTATAATATCTGTCTCATACTACAAATTAGCTTATAATGCTTAGAAATTTAGCAGACAGACAGACAGACAGACAGACAGGTAAGTACCAACAAATCAGTAGATGGACAGACGGACAGGTAAGTAAACAGACAGACAGGGAAGTAAACAGACAGATAGATAAAAATAGGGGTAGGCAGACACACAGACAGGTAGGTAAGTAGGTAGGTAGGAAGATCAATAAACAGACAGACAGACAGTAGGTAGGTAGATACACAGACAGACATGTTGTTAGGTAGGTATATACACTATATTGCCAAAAGTATTCGCTCGTCTGTCTTCACACGCATATGAACTTGAGTGACATCCCATTCTTAATCCATAGGGTTTAATATGATGTCCCACCCTTTGCAGCTATAACAGCTTCAACTCTTCTGGGAAGGCTTTCCACAAGGGTTAGGAGTGTTTATGGGAATTTCTGACCATTCTTCCAGAAGCGCATTTGTGAGGTCAGACACTGATGATGGATGAGAAGGCCTGGCTCACAATCTCCACTCTAATTCATCCCAAAGGTGTTCTGTTGGGTTGAGGTCAGGACTCTGTGCAGGCCAGTCAAGTTCTTCCACACCAAACTTGCTCATCCATGTCTTTATGGAGCTGCTTTGTGCACTGGTGCGCAGTCATGCTGGAACAGGAAGGGGCCGTCCCCAAACGGTTCCCACAAAGTTGGGAGCGTGAAATTGTCCAAAATCTCTTGGTGCTGAAGCATTAAGAGTTCCTTTTACTGGAACTAAGGGGCCGAGCCCAACTCCTGAAAAACAACCCCACACCATAATCCCCCCTCTACCAAACTTTACACTCGGCACAATGCAGTCAGACAAGTACCGTCTCCTGGCAACCGCCAAACCCAGACTCGTCCATCGGATTGCCAGACGGAGAAGCGTGATCGGTCAGTCCAGAGAACACGTCTCCACTGCTCTAGAGTCCAGTAGCGGCGCTTTACACCACTGCATTCGACGCTTTGCATTGCGCTTGGTGATGTAAGGCTTGGGTGCAGCTGCTCGGCCATGGAAACCCATTCCATGAAGCTCTCTACGCTGTTCTTGAACTGATCTGACGGCCACATGAAGTTTGGAGGTCTGTAGTGATTGACTCCGCAGAAAGTTGGTGACCTCTGCGCACTATGCGCCTCAGCGTCCGCTGACCCGCTCTGTCATTTTACGTGGCCGACCACTTCGTGGCTGAGTTGCTGTCGTTCCCAGTCGCTTCCACTTTGTTATAATCCCACTGACAGCTGACTGTGGAATATTTAGTAGTGAGGAAATTTCATGACTGGACTTGTTGCACAGGTGGCCTCCTATCATGGTACCACGCTGGAGTTCACTGAGCTCCTGAGAGCGACCCATTCTTTCTCTAATGTCTGTAGAAGCAGTCTGCAGGCCTGGGTGCTCGGTTTATACACCTGTGGCCACGGAAGTGATTGGAACATCTGAATTCAATGATTTGGATGGGTGAGTGAACACTTTTGGCAATATAGTGTAGATCAATGAACAGACAGGCAAATAGAAAAAAAAGAAAGAGCGACAGGTAGGTAGGTAGATTGATAGACAGACAGATCAGTAGATAGACAGTAAAAACCAGGTAGACAGACAGGTTCATAGGTAGGTAGATAGACAGACTGACAGACAGGTTGGTAGGTAGATAGACAGACAGATGAGTAGGTAGACAGACAGATAGATGGATTGGTAGGTAGGGGACAGTTATACAGACAGACAGATATGCAGGTTGGTAGGCAGATAGACAAGCAGATAGAAATGTAGGTATATATGCAGACAGGTCAGTGGATAGGTAGGTAGCTATGGAGATAGACAGACAGGTAAGTAGATCGGTAGACAGGTGGGTAGGGTAGATTGACAGACACATAGGCAGGATGACAGATAAATAAATAGACAGACAGACAAGTAGTTAGATTAGCAGACAGACAGATAGGTGGGTAGGGGGACAGATATACAGACAGGTAAGTACAACCCCATTTCCAAAAAAGTTGGGATGCTGTGCAAAATATAAATGAAAACAAAATGCAATGATTTTCAAATCATTTAAATCCTAAATTTTTTTTAAAATACTACAAAGACAACAAATCAAATGCTGAAACTGAGAAATTTTATTGTTTCTAGAAAAGTATTTGCCCATTTTGAATTTGATGGCAGCAACACGTTCCAAAAAAGTCAGGACGGGGGCCTGTTTACCACTGTGTTTCATCACCTCTTCTTTAACAACACTCTGTAAGCGTTTAGGAACTGAGGAGACACTGCTGTAGTTTTGAATGTGAAATGTTTTCCTGTTCTTGTTTGATGCCATTTGCTCTAATGCCCCCCTATACCATCAGGAATACTGGCTTTTGAACTGTGCACTGATAGCAAGCTGAGTGGTCTTTAGCCCAGAGGACACAGTGTCCATGATTTCCAAAAAGAATTTCAAATGTTGATTCGTCGGACCACAGGACACTTTTCCACTTCACCTCAGTCCATTTTAAATGA